ATATTACAACTAAAATTTGGGCTAAAAACTTAGGATAACAATATCTATTTCAAAATTATGGGGCAACTAAAATATCCATTTGGAGTCCAATCCAACTCCTATTCATCTGTTCTATGTAGAGGTAATTCAAACTTAGTTTAGGTAATTCAAATATTTGTTGCTCTAGATCAAGCATTTGATTCTATGTAGGGGTATAATCTCTTTATACTTTAATAATAAATAAAAATATAATTTAATTTAATTAATTCATAAAATCGATAAAAATTCAAATTTTAATATTTATATTTCTTATTTCTAATTGCAGTTTAGGACTTTCTTTATACTAAAAAAACAATAAAGCTAAGATTTCGTCTTTCCTAAATAAAAATAAAATATTCGTTGCTCCATTATTTTGATTAGGCTATAGTTTTATTTTATTATTTTTTTTTGGGTGCAATTAGGCTATAGTTTCTATTGTAGTCTCATCATTTTTACTTACTTTCTCCAGGAAAGAGACCCACAAAAGGCCCATTCTTACTTATCCAAGCTGGCCGCATGCTTTACATGCAAAAAGAATCATGAGAGATAAAAATAAATATTTCCGCATTGTTTAGTTCTCACCACTTATTATATAAGGATCGAGCGTCAGCCATTCAGGCACAATTTTAAACTTGTATTCAGATTGCCCTTTTTGCTTTTGGATTATTCAATTGTATTTAGAGTCCCAACCAAACAAAGCAAAAACTAGGAAAGAAAGATGAATCCAGGCTAGTCATTAGGCAGTAGCCACCTTGATAAATTTAAGAATTTTGTTTGATAAAAATCAGATCAGACCTTGTCTTATCTAGGCCTCCTCTTACTAGAAGAAAATGAGTGGAGGACAGATCTTGTCCCAAAGGAGTTGCCGAAATAGCTCATATTCATGACTGAATTTGGAGGCTTTGAGCATGAATAGAATAGAATAGAATAGAAGAGAGACTTACTGGATTAACATAGTCATATATTTTTTGTTTTTGCCATTAACATTGTTATCTGGTTGATTATTAGCCATGGTGTCAACAACTGGACTAGATCGATACAGTAACGGTGTTAATGCTTGCACTAGATCGACATCATTTTCTGAGTACTGGTTGTTGGCTATTGTGTTTACATTGAGATCGTTATTGTTATTAGCTACATATGGTTAATAGCTAAACTACATTGAGACAAGGTGCAGGTATCGCACTTGTACAGGAACCAAAAGCATTTAAAAAGTACAAAAAATTTCTTCCAAAAAAAGACCTTGGGAATTAAAGCCCCAGTAGCAAAGCTATTGTGAGTGGCTTTCCCCTTAAAAAATTAATTTAGTATTGTTAATTATTGAAAATGAATATTTTTAAAGAATTTTTTTGTTAAATTTTATCTTAAAATCATCAAAAATTAAAGTTTATTGACAAAATCAATATTGGCATAAAGCGTAATGGCAAATTTACCCTAAAATCTCAATAAAATATGATTACTTAAGTTTGGCATAACATATTTTACGTTAAGATTAATGTCATGAATAATTTTTAAATTATAATAAAATATTGAATATGATACTTAGATTTTAAAAATTTTTAACGTGATATCTAAATTATAAATTTATTAATTAATTTGATATTTGAAGGATTATTCATCTATTACATGTTATCGTTTGAAACTAATTATGTTAAAGGTGAATATTACATTATTTAACAATTTCATAATTCAAATTTAATATGATACCTAAATTTTTAAAATTTAGGTACCATATTAAATATTTTACTATAATTTAAAGGTCATTCATAACATTAATCATTTACATTATTTAGTGTGCATAAGGCTTAATACTCAAATAAACACTGTAACTTTACTCCAAAATAAAATTAAAAAAAAACCTTGATCTCTTATTGCATAAAATTAAGAGTATGAATTGTTATTTCATTGCAATTATACTCATGAAATCTTAAAAATTGATAAATAATATCCAATTGACATAATTTTTAAGGTAGCAGTATCTTAAATATTTATCATTTAATTCATCAAAATAATTTTAAGTAAACATTTTTTACAAATTAAATCATTCAATTAAAAAATTTTATCGAAAAATTGAATATTTTATACTGTTAGGTATCTAATTGTAATAAAATAAAAGTTTATATCCTTAATTTCATGTAATAAAAGATTATAAATTTTTTTTATTTTTTAATAAAGTTCTAGAGTTTATTTGGATATTATTCCAGGAGCATAATTTGCACAATTTGGCCTCTAATTTTCCTTTTAGGATATTGATTTAAAATGTATATTTATTAAAACTAAAATTTGGGCAAATAAGGTCAAATAATTAGTTGCAAAATTACTTGTGGCTCAAATTCCCAACCCAACTTGTATTTATCTCTACAAACCTGTTAATAGCTTGAATTAGAAAAATGACATACAAAGATAGAATTGACCCCAGTAATATCGACTTTCAAAAGGTGTCCAATATCAAATTAAAGAATGATTTGGATGACTAAATTAAAGACCATGTCAAATTTGGGCTGCAACGTAGTTTTAATAATTAAAGCTACAAATTACGATCCAAAGTCAACTCTTTAGAAACCTCAACATTCATGGCCCATTGGTGACCAAAACCTATAAAGGTCCATGGGTAACTAGCTCGAGAATTATTAGTCCAAAACAAAACCTTCTTTTCAAAACTATCTAATAACGAACACACTTCATTTACAGGCAATTCTTGAATAATGAACTCGAAAACGACTTCAAAATTGAGTTACTGAACAGCCATATAAAAGTGGAGATTGATGTTCATTAGAGATAATTTTTCTTCTTGAGTTCATAATTGTGGTTTGAGCATTTTGACTTTGCTTAGTAGGAATAATGGAAAAATGTGAAAAAGGGAAACTTGTTAATTCAATGATTCAATGTTAAAAATTCTTTTTTTTTTTTTTTTTACTTTATAACTTAATCATTAGATTAAAAAAATTTTCATCCTCAACATAATTTCAAATAATGGTCGAATAGCGATATAACAGTCGATATTTTGCGTTAGCATTGGTTTTCGAAACTGTTATCCTCTACTATAGAAATGAGAGAGATGAATCACATCAATAGCTGTTCTTTACAACTTCAAATAGTGAAAAAACGGTAAATAATGATAATATTAGTCCTCTTTTCCTATTATTGAGGGTTCTGTGATATTTTTACTTTATTTTTATCGCATCAAAATTTTAATACATAACAAAATAAAGACAAAAATCTACCCTAAACCACAAGAATCAAAGAGATAGTGCTGCTCTTTCATAGCTTCCATACTTATCAATTGCAGCAGATAAGAATTTTTTATCTTTTCAACCTTGAGAGAGAAGAGCCCAAACATGAAAGATAGAAAATTAATTGAAGCAGAGGCCATAAGAGTTTGGGTGCTACGTAAAGTTGGATAGATGGATTTGGTTGTGGGTGGGATTGTATAGATGGAGAAGAAAGTTAAAACAATGAACTGAGGCAGGGGATAAGGAATAGTGGAATAGGAGAAGAAACATAGGAGAAGGAGAAAAAGGGGATTTTCATGGGAGCACGTGACATTAAAATAAAATTAAAATTTTTTTTTTTTTGTTTATATGCAAAGTTGGGAGGGAAAGCAATTAAATAGTAAAAATTAAGAATTTAAGAAAATTTTTTAATCATCTTAAATAAAACTTGAGAGGAAATGAGATGATAAAAATGAATTTATTTTAATGAGATTTTTTAAAGTTATTTTTATAAGTATTTTGTATGTATTAATATGGTTTAAAAATAATTAAATTTAAATTACTAAAGTTTTACTACTTAATATTATTGTTAATTTTTTTGAGTGTTTGATTAAAGTTTGGTTGTTAAATTTAATTTGTGAATTATAATATATTAAAATTTTCATCCATTAAATTTTAATTAAATTAATTTATGAGTTTAATAATTTCTTATAATTAAAAAAGATAGAAAAATATTTAATTTTTATGTATAATATTATTTTATCATTCTTATATAGTTATGATAGTGAATATCACGATATTCATAAATATATTTAAATAACTTTTAAATATGGATTAATTTGACTATAATGATATAATATAAAAAAATATTAATAATTTATTTTTTCATATAAGTAAAGAAATTAAAATGTTCTAAATTATTTTAAATATCATAAAATAAGATTTTTTATTATTATAAATATAATTTACTTCATTATATAATGAGTTGTATAAAAATAAAAAAAAAATTCACAACTGCGATAGGCACAATGAACGTTATTTTATTCGTTATGTCCGCAACTATAATAAATACAACGTAACTGAAAACGTGACCGCAATTACGATTTAAATCCCTGATCCTCACCCCATTCCATCCTTCAAAGCCTTTATTCTGGTGTAACTTCTTATGACCAAGAAAAGAAAAGAAAGAAACTTTGTTCTTTGGTTTAAGATTCACACTTGTTCCCCAAAAATTAACTTACACGTTAAATTCGAGATTTGATCTCCAAACAATCAAAGACTTGAGACAATAATTGTAAAATGTACATAAGGAAATGATGGACTTATCAACTGAACTACACAGAAAACGCAGGCTATATCATTAGTAAGGGTAAATCTTTTACCTTACGATTGATGTCCTCACAGCACATTCCACTCAAAAAGATTACATGAAAGATACAATCCTCGGTGGAAAAGCTAGAAACATAATTTAACCTCATACAACAAGTAATACTACTCTTGAACATTGAGTCTAATAATTAGACAGGTCTCTATTCCCCATAGAGACCAAATTCACACACACTTTCATCAATTTCTGATGCATCTTCCCATCAAATTCCACAACAAAGGAAACACAATTACAGCATCCAGGGCGTTTATAAAAAGAACCCCATGGTGACAACTTTGTCCTTGTACTACACACCTATTGCACTATAAACAGTATTTTTATATATATCAGACACATCTAACTAGAAAACTACTACTTGGTTAATAGTTGTTTATAGCCTTAGGGGCTTGGAATTGTTGGGATGACTCAAATTTTTAATGTGGTTTTGGTTAGTTTTAGGGTGATCAGATGAAACAATTAGAATTGTCCTCCCGTGTAAGTTTGGCCAAATGCCCAATTGGGAGGAGCCAGGTTGTTGGAGATGACAGAGCGGTCATCACTTGTTGTGACCTTAAAAGAAAGGGCTTGACCATTCATGTAAGAGTTGCTTTGCCAGTTTTGGCCCCAATTGCGAGACATCACTTGCCAACCAGTTCTAGACCCTTTGATGGAGACAGACACCACATCTCCAGCCCCTCCAACATTGGTTATCAGCACAAGGTTGAAGTATGAATGGCCATTTATGGTAAACCTGATCCCACCAGATTTCCAACAAGCAACCCTGCAATTTAAAGGATACCTTTCAGCATGTCCTCAGCCAACAAAATCATACTATGACTATAACTTGGTTGTCTTGACTCCTGTTTGAAATGAATTGAACTATTGAACACTTTGAGTCAGACTACTTATATACCAAAAATTGACATGATTGATAATTGAAAATGACTTGCAAACTTGCCAACCTTGAGTTTTTAGGCATATATTAGACTGAAAAGCAAATTGGTGTTTGTGTTTCTTACCTTCTATATTCAACAGGCACTATTCCTGCTTTGTACTGAGCTATGTGTTGGAAAACAGGTTGGGAGAGATCAAAGTGTCTTAAGGGAGGGTTGCACCACCCTCCTGCATTATTTGGGAGAGCATTGTTTGGAGGGCAGAAGTTTGTTGCTGTTACTACAATGGATCCTGGGAGACACCACTTATTGTCACTGATACACTTGATCTCAAAGCATGCCCCACAAGTAATACCTTTATTGAATAGAGCAGTGCTCAATGCAGCAGTGCTTGTGCCATAACCTTGGCTGTAAAGATTTCCATAGCCACATGCTCCTCCTACAACATATGGAAAAGTAGCTGAGAAAGGAATCAGGGAATGGGAGAGATAATAATAATGAATACTTTTGCAATGTTTAGTTCTCACCCATTGTGCCAGAAGCATCACCTCCCCCATAGAAGGTAGCATGAGCATTATACCATCCACCTTCATATCCATGAATTGTCTTCACCATGGCAAGGGAAGATACAAGAAAAATTCCAAGAAAATCCATTTTCTGCAAAATCAATTCTCATTAAATATCAGCATTCTTTAGAGAAACTGATATAGAAAGTCCTGATAATTTTGGGAATGAAAATTAGTGAAATAAATAGAAGAGAAATGATGTTCTTGTTCTTACAAAGGCTAGAGTTTAACTTTAAAAACTTGACTTGGAGAAGAGTGTCAATGAGAAATAAGTTAAGAAAGAGCTGAAAGGATGAAGTTCTATTTATAGATGTGTGTGACTGATGGAGGGTTAGGGGTTACAAGAGGCAGATGACGTGTAGATGCCATCAAGGTTTAAGGAGTTTCTTTTTCTTTATCTTCTCCTATAAATAAAAAATAAAAAAATAAAAAAGAATAATTGGCACCCTTGTCTTTTGAAAGACATTTGAAAAGATGTCACGGTGTTATTATAGCACACTTCATCTGAAAGGAGTTGGAAAAGAAGAAAATAATGTACTAACCTGTAAAAGGATCCTCTAATGGCTTGGACCCATGCTCTAGTTGACTTTCCTTTTGGACTTGGACCTGAACAAAATAAGGGAAAAGGTTCTTTGCATCAGCTGATGTCCTTAAACATTTTGTAAAACTTACTTTTACAACGTTTTATGCACATTCCTGGCTGCAACTAAAGATCCTGAAGAATAATCTTTCCAGGATGTGAATCTTGTGGCAAAGGATCGGTTAAAGTTATTTGAAAGAAATTTATCAAAGAAGCGATTAGGTGCCCATGAAAGTACGAAGGATAAAAAGGAGAAGAGATGGTTTCATGATTTACAAGGGAACCAAAAAAAAAACTCTTGTTATATAAGGTACTTTTTGCATTACTGGTCTGTTATTTTGAAGGTTCTTGTGCAGCATATAGTTGAATTTTCTATTCTTCAGAGATCACTTCACCAATCACAATTGGAAGAAAAGAAGAGACAAACCATGGTTCATTTCATAAGCAAAGTCGAATGAAATCTATATGTCTATGCTATAGAGTATCCATGACACTCTTATTGGATGCAAAGTTGGATTGACATCCTATGCACAAGGTCAATACTTCCCAATTTTGCCCGGATCAGTATTGATTGGAACTTGGAACTATGAATGAGAAAAAGGGTTTCGATTACTTTGAAGGATTGTCATCGACATCTTCTCATGCTCCAAGAAAATAATGGTAGCTTTTTTCAAGTCCATTTGAAGTAAATGTCAAAAGAAAAATGCAGAGGGAATATACCTCTTAATTCTTAATGGTCTAAGTTTATCAGTCATGTTTACCTTGACTTAAAATCATCAGTAATCTTCAATTCCCCTAAAAATCTTACATGAAGATTCAAAGAAACAAAATTTCTAGCTTTTCAATCAGTGCAGGAAGAATCCCATGTGAAACTATATGCTCGAAGCTAGCCTTCCTACCCTAGATTTTGAAATGTCACAATCAAAGTGTTGGGCATGTGGCAAACCGTCCATCTCAGTGACAAAAGATAATGGAATGTATATTTTTTTCTTCCCTTCCATTCTCATTATACTTTCATTTCTTTCTCTTTACTTCCTATTAATCTTATCTGTGTGCAGATGACAACCTTTTCATTGTGTCCATGCTGCAACTCTCTTTGAAGAATATGAAGCTTATTATAATCTTTACAGCTTGAAAGAAACAGATATTTAAATTTGAACCTCTTTTTGTAGGACATTCTTATGTCAATATTCCAAAACTAAAGCTGAATTTTTCCTCTAAATTTCCACAGCCATTTGGATTTCTTGGAGTATTAATCATTGAATAAATTAAAAGAAAGGCAAACAGTCAATCATTCGTGCAGCTGTTCATGATTGATGAATACTTTTTTGTTCATTCAATCGAAGATATATGCAACTAAAGAAAGAGAACAGTTAGATGCCTTATGTTTTTTTGTTTTACACGTGTCCTTCCAGTAGCAACGCATTCCGTTTGAGAGATTTGATTAAAAGCAGTTGGAAAATATAATTTACTTGATAGAAAGTAGAAACCTGACAAACCATTGATTAAAATTAATTCTTGGTGACAATTGACTATGTCAGTTTCATCTAATACATTTACCAATAGACCACTCCTTGTTAAAAAATTTTACAATTGATTAAGCAGATTCCATTTGGATAAGTTCTACCAAATCAAAAGGATATTTTCCATCACTCGTATAAGGAGTACAAAGTTGATAATTTCAGGGTTTTGATTCTATTTAATAAATTACAAACAATAAGCTTGCAAATCAATTATATTTTTTTCACTCATCATTCATCAAACTCCAAAGCAACCAGATCATGGTAGTTTGAATAGGTCATAGGCCACAAAGCCAAAAAGAAATATAATAATAGCCCACATTCCATAACCAGATATCAAGTCCCAGAGAATAATAACAAAATCAAAGCAGGCCATGCCATAGACAAAACTTGGTTGATTTATACACCAAACTGCACATGGGATCACATGGCCAACTTGTTTCAAGCAATAGAATAAGATGAAAAGAAAAGCCTAAGGCCCTAGTTGAGCACCCTTTGCACATACAATTTACCCCACATTTTATCCAAAATAAAGGATTCTCTCAAGATTCAAAGTGACTCAAAACTTTCAAAACAGCTCTAAGCCACACGAAAGCCTGAAAGTAACTTTTTTTGGGGAAACCACTGACGTATATGACGGAGAGTCCACTGGGATTTTCCTGTTCACTTCTTTTGTATTGGCCACTTAAAAGTTTGAGGTCAGCATGCACAATATATTTTAACAAAGAACATGTATGAATGTAGAATATTTCGAACAGCAAACCCTAACACTGGCATGCACTAAAATTGACATCCAGTGGAGTCCATGATTTAGGTTTTGTACTTTATTGACTCCAATAAGTAATGGATCATGAACTAAAGGCCATGTGATCAAATAGTATTCTAGTTTCAAGTATAGAGCAGCTAAAATGTCTTGTGCTTTGTCCATACAAAAAAAAAAAGTAAAATTCTTTTGCTAATTTGATTTATTATTAATGATTGTAATATTTTTTGTTGAAGAAATTTTAAGTTTTAGAGAATTAAAATGAATATGGCTAAATGAACCACATTCATTTTAGCCCTGTTAATTCATTTATTTATGTCGTATAAAATACCAATAATTTTTGTAATTATATCATATTTTGCATGAAAATTATGTGTCACAATATATGTCGATACGAAAATATAAAATATATATTTTTGTTTTGTTAAATCTATATATAGTTTTTATTAAAATTTTAAACCATATTACTTTTGTATCTTTTATTTATATCGTTTTTATATTATATCATCATATCGTATTTTAAATTATCAGATTTAATTAATTTTACGGTATCATAGAAAATTACAAACTCAACTTAATAAATAAAAGGTTTGGTTTTTCATTTATTTTCTTTATCAGGTGATTTACTTTTCTTAATAAATGGCCTTAAGCCTTTCTTTCAATATTCCTGCTTGGACATAAGTAATTTTTCAAGATTTTAAAGATTCATAAATAAAACTACTAAAGTAACTTTGATTCCATGTCACTACTAATAGTTTGCTCTATTTCTTAAATTAATTATTTTTTAATCTGAAACTTGATTTATGCTGTATTATTAAGTGGTAGTGTTCAATATATTTGAGGTTTAAATTTTAGAATTTTAATTTTTTCTTTTATTTTTAAATCATGATTTGTTTACAAAAAAAAAAATTGAAATCTCAAGACCAAGACTCAACAAAATGAACAATGTAGGAGAAAATTAACTAATAGCAGCTTAGCTAATGAATTCTTTTTTAGAAATTATTTACTACACTGTCAGCGAAATTTTTTAATTTTATAAGCAAAATTAACATAATAACACATGTTTTATTTTTTTATTTAGTTTTTTTTTTTAATTATATCTTAAAAGACATGTGTTATATTATTAATTTCCCTTGTGTAATTAAAAAATTACACTAATAATATATTTAATAATTTTTTAACAATAATTCATTATTTTTCTATTATCAAGTGTCTATTTATAAATTAAATAACATATTATTTTAAAAATATAATCTAAATAAATATTTATCAACTCTTTAAATTGAGAGTTAAAAACTCCACTGATAATATATTGGACAATAATCCAAAAAAGGGAAACTTGGGCTCCAACTAGCATCTTTCAGGCTTTGGGCCTTAGAGTGGGTTGTGATCCTGTAAAGAAATGCTGGAGATTGCTTCTTTTCAATTTTGGGTTGTACTTTTTGGGCCTCACATAGCAAACTGTATGCTAAGGTGGGCTTTGATTTAGGACTTAAGAATTAGAAGAGCCCAGAAGGTCTCATATATCTGCACATTTCCCATTCCAGGCCTTGAAATGGTTGTTTTATTATGGGCTACTAGCTATGGATCATCTTTTAAAATACATATATAAATTTTTAATTTTCCTAACTATTAATTTATTAATGAAAGTGTTAATAATTAGCCAAGTTTTAAGCTCCAACAACTATTGAGAGTTACTAGACAACATTTCGTTTAGGAAAATGTGAGTTCCAAGAGATATCTACATCTTGGTTTCTGCTGTCCAAACCCTTGCCTACCTCTTTAATACCTTTTGTTTCAGGAAATTCCAGGCTTGTGCCCTTGATGATTTCAATTTGCCACACAAATAAATTAAACGTATGCTATGTTTCCTTTTTACTTGAGACAAATTGGTAAATACTTGTTGAAGGCGGCAAAAACTATGAAAGGCTATGTTCTTCAACTTGTTAAGCATATTGGCAACTTGGGAGAGAATAAAGCTGATTAATTTGTAATAAATGACATGAAACACATTTCTTTTTTACATAGAATAATATTTTTTTTTAAATAAGGAGTCACAATTTAAAAATAAAGAAAAATGTTTAAAATATTAAAATTTATTAAATATCTTTTTTTTTTATAACAATGATTACATATGAACTAAACTTGAACACTTTTTCACGATCAAATTGGTGACCAATCAAAATTTTTGTCTGGTTCCTGCTGCATCAGTCTCTTGGTTGATGGCAACTGGCAAGGTCCAGGTTGGCCATATGGAGGATTTAAAGCCCACAGATTTCGGCATTTGTCGATCAGCAATCAAAGTTTCATTACTTACTGATTTAAATAAAAAAAAAAAAAAAAGGAAAGCTATTGTGGGATTTTAGCCTCAATATTAATGTGGGAAACACAATCTTGACTGTCTAGCCATATCTTGGTGTTCAATTGATTGAGACATAGCTTGCATAATGTGCTCCAGAAAGTTGATAACCACAAAATTTGTCATTGCCTTAAAAAAAAGGCATCTTTTCATTTTAAAAATCATGGAATGATTTCTGATACCACCGACACCCTAGTATATCATATCATGACTCTGATAATGACCTATTTCTTCTTTGCCTTCTATCTAAAAGGAGGTAGATAACCAAATAATGGTAGGCTCCAAGTGATGAATTTTTTTTTTTTTGTATAAATTTAAATTTGTTGAAAGATTATAAAATTTTTTTTATAAATTTATTATAATTGACGTGAATCGATTAAAAATTATATTAAATAAAACTTAAAAATCCACTTTAAAAATAAAAGGAGCTGCGTAACATTAACAAGTAGTGCAATTTTTCCCAAGTAGAACTGCTTAATAATGAGATCTTCTCTGCTTTCTTTTGCAAATTGGTTACCTTTAAAGAGAACTCAAACACTGATCTCATTTGATAAACATGCATTTACATATACTCGCAATGAGAACGATAATAGGTTATAATTTTAATGTTAAAAATAATAGTATATAGGACAGTGAGTCAAAATTATGGTCAATTAGCCAATCAGATATCAAAACTCAGCATATTTTCATTAATGTTGTTGTAAATATTGAAAAAGGTTTTACTTAAAAAGGAAAAATTATGTACCTTTTCATATATTCTACTAAAACTGGGACCAAATATCAGATCTTGAATAGCTGTCTTCATCACCTCGATAGCAGATAATATTGCTTGCATTTTTTCAAAAAAAATCAAACCCACATATCATCACTCACTCCCCCCCCCCCCCCTCCTTTTCTCTTTCACTTGGTTTCTATATAAGGGATCAGCTTATCAAGCTGATCCTGACCTTCATTTCCTTCACTTGTCTCATGTTTTTCTTGCTCAATATTCCAATATGATCAAATCATCATCGTTTTGGTTTAGTTTTTTCTGATATGTTGTGCCACCAATTCACCACCATACTAGCGTTTAGGCCTAGAAAGGATGGTGCAGCCAAGGATGACTTGCCGGCTCTTTCTCCTCCCATCGATCCTTTCATATTCAAAAATGGATATATATGAATGTCGGCAAGTTCTCTTTGGCTACATTTTTCTTTCTGATCCTCATGCTAGGCTTTTGGTGATTTTGATCTATCAATTCCCATTATGTAAAAATTAGATAACTAAGTAGATCTATTAGTTATATTATTTTATCTATGTGTCTATCTATTTATTTATGAATAATAACGATATTATCATTATGATTTCTCTTTGGGGTAAACATTATAATATTATCCATAGGCGGCTAAGCATATGTAATATGAACGTGATGAGAAGAATCTATCTAATAATTTTTCTTATGTTTGCATTCATGCATTTAAAAAGTATAATTTTCTTATCAGAGAAATCTAGGGTGCCTATACGATAAACTGAATAGCCTACTATGAATGCATTGTGAGAAGCTTAATTCAAACTCAATTTGGTATCTTAAAATGTAAAACTTTGGAGATTAAGGATTTGTGACAATTGATTCCAAGAAGGGATTCCCTTGTTTGGACCCAAGCAGCAATGTCACTCTTATCTCTATCAAACTCCAATTTAAAGAAAAAAAAAAAAAAAAACAACCCTAATGCTTATAACTGGATTGAATTGACCATTTTCATATTTCATGTTCAAATTAACTAGATGAGGCCTGTTTCCAGCGCAATAAAACCTGAGCCAATGTTTTGGAAGGGACTGATATGGGTACAAGCCTACTCTTAGCCTATCATATCAGTTCTTTTAGACCAAAAGTTGTGGGCTCTTAGCCCCTAATACATCAAAAGCTTTCCAATGGACCAGGCTAAGATAAGACGTTAAACCCAATATTATGATCTGGGTTACAATTGGACAGGACCCTAATCCAATTCAAACCCAAGATTTGATAAAGGTTGAAAATAAGTAGTTATAAAAAAATAAAATAAATTTTAACTATTTTAAAATTAAGTATTTTTTATTATTTGGTGGAGAAAAGAAAGGTGGCATGTTTGAGCTAGTGGTGTCAAACAAAGGCCAACTCAATTGCCAGTAACCGAGGTCTCCGATGCAGGAAGAAAGACACGTTTCAAGCATCCAACATCTGCATGACTAAATCAAAGCCTTGCGCATAAATTCCACATTGCCGGAGCAAAAGACAACTTCTTGTGAACTTTGACTCTAAATTAGAACCTAAAAAGCTTGTAGGCCCCCGACAGGGTTTGCTTCCAAGCTAATAATGCATGCATCCAGGCAAGGCTTTAACGGATATGCCCCGACACATGGGAACATTAGAGAAATTGAAACATTACTTTCATACTTGTCAATCATGGAAGAACATGGGAAACAGGTTGGACACCTGGGAGGAGATGAAGGGAGCTTTGGGATTTTGAAAATCCTGAAAATTTTGGTCGCTGGATTCAGGATTGGATTATTGGAATTGAAATACCCCACACTTAAACCAATAAATCAAAGGTTTTTTTTTTCTTCCTTTTTTTTTTTGTATTTTTGTGAAAGCAAGGTAGGCCACGTTGATGCATCTCAAAGCACAAGCAACCTTATCCAACCTTTTTCTTTTAAACTAGTTCTACGGCTTGTTTTCTTTTTCCCGTTTATCCAAAATTTCCCCAGTATTCCCTTGTAGTCCAGCCAATTACACATTTCTCACTTTTTTCCTTGTGGATTCCATCACTAGTATTTGTTGCTTCTGTATCATCTTAAATTCCTAATAAAGTATGAAAATTATTTGAGTCAAGAACACTCTTACTAACGATAGAATCTTTTCCAAGTTTTTTTTTTTTTTACATAACTTATCAAGAATTTGCATTAAAAACATACGCAAAAAGAGTCAGTTAAACAATGACCAGGACCTGTTGTGGTCACTTGTGGCCTTGTCATAGACAATCCTGAAAAATCTAAACAGCGGTTGAAGATGTCCACTATCCAGGCAGAATTTCAAACAATTCTTGAAGCTTCCATGATTTGTAGACCATCCAAAAACTACTAGATATTTTTTTCAGTTTTTAATAGAGGATACATGGAAGAGGACACTTTTGTTTTTCTGTACAACATCTGTTGTCTGTCGATACAAAGAAAAGAGAGTATAAACATTTATTGTCCAAGCTAATTCTGAGTTGTCCTCTTCAACGATTGCCCACATTAACGAACTTAATTTTATCCGTAAGAACACACACAGAAGTTAAAAAAAAAAAAGTAATCATAAATGATTTCCTCAATTAATTAAGATTATTTTTTTTATAAAAAAATTTTAAATTTAAATTTTATCGATAATTATTTATTAAAATCACCTTAAATACATAATTTAAAATTATTTATTTTAAATTATTAAATATAACATATCTGACATTAAAAATTAAATTTCTTATCTATTCTGAATTTTTTTAATACCGTAAAAAAGGGAATATTCTCTTTTTAACAGTTTGTTCCCAGTCACTTGCTTGAATGATTGAATCCGGTGATATTTTTCCTTTTGGTTGGCGGAATCTGGGTACCTATTTGTCATTGCCATGCCAATACCATCCAAATCCAATGAAATATCCCTAGATACAAACAGTGTGATCTAATCTCAACAAAACTAAATAAATAAAGGAAATAAAAACCAAAGGCAGCAACCAGTTATCATTAAATACCATATATCCAATACAAATACTCGTATTTTGCTTACAACACAGAAAGAGAAGGCCAATAGAAAATAAAAAATAAAGGATTTCAATTTCCTATAATAACCATATACTATAGAATAATAAGATTTTTACATTTACAAGCGGTTTTCCCTTAAACATAAAAAAAGACAACTCAACATATACACAGCTAGTTGCTTTTCAAACACCTCGAATCCAGCAGGCTACGATCCAAAAAAATAAATCCAAAAGCCTGCAACTCCATGGGGAGACGAGATGCCGTATGGCTTCTCCTCTACTATGTTGTTCATTTCTAACATGAATATCAGAACACGAAAGATGAACGTGGAAATAGTACTGTAGTGACTGTACAAGGGCGATAGGGAGTAGATCGAGGTTGGCAAAAAACTATACATCATCTCGCAGAACCAACCAATGTTTTCTCCTCACTACCTTTAGGGTTTAAGGATCTTGTCGGGAGAGGAAGGGGGAGTTTTGTCCCTGAATCAGATCGAACTTCTTTTGATACCAGAATCTCTTCCTGTGCAGGAACAGGCACAGCTTGAACTGGTTTTGGTGTGTAGTTGAAGGATAGATCTTTGTTGGCAGCTAATGCCAAAAGCTCCTTCTCCTCAAGACCCTTCGTCGGCCCAAGACTGCATCGGTCTGGTGAGTGCTTGGCCAATGCATCTTTGAATTTTTTTATCTGTGGAATCCTAATAGTAATTAGAACATAAATCAAGATTCACATGGTAACAATAGACTACAACATACATTATGAACTAATCATGCCATGTCAATTAAGATGTAAAGCTAGTTGCATCAAACGAGTAGTAATCAATCTGTCAACAATCTTGGAAATTCAGTGAAAGCAAACAACTAAGCTGAACCTCACAACATTACAAAGCCAATTGCTAGGAGAAACAAATGGCAATCTACATCATACATCTTGAAAAATGTAATTGATCCAAAGGGAATTATGCATTTTCCATACTAGAATTAAAGTCTCATATATTCAAGTGACACGCATCATACATTAAAAATGAGTATAAAATGACAAAATAGGCTTGTTTTGATTCTAATTACTAGATATATCTGATAAATCAAAAGGGAGGGATACAAGACTAACTGTGGCATTGGTGCAGCTAAAGCTGCATAGACGCCCCTGAGCTCCTCTATAGAACCGGAAGAAAGGCAGCACATGAACATTAAGGCTATAGCACATGGACTTATGCTCCTCGTAATTCACCTGAAGAAACTGCAAATCTGGATTCATCTCTGCCAATTGGCAAATCTGTCAAATTCCAACATCCAAATCCACAATTAATCCAATTACAAACAATACAAAAATATGGAGACACACATCTATGCAAAAATAAATATATATAAAACTATGTCTATAATATTATACCTTGGGATGAAGAGCCTTGCAGCCTCCACAACCAGGGGAGAAGAAATCTACTATAACAAGTTTATCCCCAGCATTCATAAGAGAGTCTACCAGGTCTTGTGCAGATGTCACTTCTTTCATATTTGGTTGCAGACCCTTCTCCCACCACTTTTGAATTCTGCCAATAAGGCCACTTCGCATCTGATTCCATTAAACAAGAACAGAAAAAAGAGATATCAATTAGTATTTTTTTTATTGATCTTTGCAAAAGATCAAATTTAACCTTTTTTTTTTTAAATGTAAAAGTTTACTGCTTAATCTTTATGTTACTATCATTTAATTAAGAAAAAAAATAAAATTTTTATAAATATAAAAGGTAATTTCTGTTTAAAGATTTGATCTTTGGCATGTGAAACGTAATAATAGAACATGTAAATTACCAAGAAATTCAAAATTTTCAACAAAAAGAACATCATAAAATAAGTTAAGAAACAATATTCACTAAAAACAAAATTAAAAAAGTACCCATACTTTTCCTCAAAAAAATTCAGAAATTGAAAAATAAAAAATAAAGTTAATTAAACCAACCTGTGCGTTAATGGGAACTTGACAAAGCCTTCTCTTGTTCACACTTTTCTTCTCCAAAAAAACTACTGTTTGCCCATTAAAATCACTACCCAAAGCCTGAGATTTCAACTTCAAAGAAGAAAAACTATTCTTTTTCAAACAAAAAGAAATTCTCTTAGAACACAAAGAACCCCCACCTTCTTGATTCTTCTTCTGACTATAGTTACAAGTTGTAAACAGATTTGCTTTCCCCAAAACCTCAGCCATAGCTATCTTTCTATTCTTCCCTTTTTTCTCTCAACAAAAACCAAAACCCAGATTGAAAATTGAATCCTATGGCCTATGCTTTATTCCTAATGAAAATTAAAGTAATAAAAAAAAAGGTTTTTTACTCTCTTTAAAGCAAAAGTGGTTTCCTTTTTCATTCTGTTCTTCGTTGGCTTTGCCAGTTTTGTTGGTTATCTTAAGGTCTGAGGATTGACTTCAACCGTTGATCTGTTTTGTCTTGATGTGAATCCAACGGTCGATGATGTTTTGTGATGGGCAATTTTTCATGTGAAAACGTGTTGGATAAGGTTTTTTTCTTTGGTTTTCATAGCGTTGAACCAGTTTTATGGTGGTCTGGAGATGCAAGTGATCAGTGAATTTTGTGACACGTGGCATTAAATTTTAGATTTTATATATAAAAAAAAGGCTTTCGGATATGGATAAAAGGTAGAATCTGGGCCACTTGGGAAATTTTGTTTTTTCCTTTTTAGCTTTTTCTTTTTTTAAATCAATCTTGCATTTTTTTTGTTTTTATTATCTTTTTTAACATGCAAAAGATTTTTACTATATTTTTTATAATTTAAAAAGAGTGAGTTTTTAAATAATTTTTTAAATTTATTCAAATTAAAAAAATAGTAAGTGATATTATGATTTTAAATTTAAAAAAGTTTAAAAAATAAAAGATTATGAGAAAATTTATTAACATAAAAATATCTTTTTGACAATTTAAAGTTTAAAATTTTTATTTTATGATTTAATCTTAAATTTGATTCTTCATTTTTTTTTTCAAAATTAAAATATTTTATTCTTTCAAAATTTTAATTTGTGATTTATAAAATTAGATCAACAATTGATTTAAAATATAATAAAAATTTAGATAATTAATAATTATTTGAAATATATTTGTTTAATTTAAATAAAAAAATATATTTAAATTTTTTTCTTTTATAAAAGAAGTCTGAGAATAAGAAAAAAGTTGTAAATATAAAATTTTAAATTTAAATATTAAAATTTGAGTTTAAATTTGTTAAATATTATCTTTTCAAAATAATTATATGAACCAATTGAATTATGATCCAAATTAAAACATTGTGATAATTTCAGAATTTAACACCCGAAGCTTCTCTGTAATAATTTCTCAATGATTTGAGCAACATGCAAATCCAACATTTTCCTTGGCGCCACTCCATCATATGCAAAATTTGTCTATCCTACACTCATCCTTCAAGCCACTAAGGTATCAGGTCAAACTAGAGCCAGGAATTTTGAAGGCATTCCTCTCATCCATCAATCTTCTCAAGCTCAGAGCATCTCCAAACCTTCCAGCACCAGCAAGGATATTCGACATCAGAACATAGTCACCTCCATATCCCTTCTCAATCTCCATTATCTTTGTTGTCACCCTCTCACCCATCTCAACATTACCATAAAAGCTACAGGCACCCAGCAGTATTCTCCAAACCACTTCGTTTGCTATCTCACAAGGAATCTCTAGAGCAATCTTTTCCGCTTCTTCCAACCTCCCTGTCCTCCCTAACATGTCAACCAAACACCCATAATGCTTAATGTCAGGCACGATTTGACACTCATTAACCATCTTTTCGAAAAACTTGAGCCCCTCCTCAACCAGGCATCCATGACTACAAGCATTTAAAACACTCACGAAAGTGACCCTATTTGGCTTCCAACCTTGTTGCTCCATCCTTTCAAAACTCTCAACAGCCTCTTTCCCCATCCCATGCATTGCAAAGCTTGAAATCAACGATGTCCATGAAACCAAAGTTTTCATATGAGCCGGAATCTCTTCAAACAACCTTGATGCACTTACTATGCAACCGCATTTTGCATATGTATCAAAAAGCATATTCATGACACGAATATCAGGCACAAGAAAGCCTCTCTTCTCTCCATAACTATGAATCAACTGACAAATCTTGACATCTCCAATATTCCAAACAGATGGCAAAATAGCCAAGACCGTTATTTCACAAGGTTCAACCCCATCATCCGCAATCATCCTTCGAAACAAACCTAAAGCCTCCCTATACCGGTTCATCCTCGTGTACCCATCAATCATCCCACTCCATGAAACAATATTCCTATCCGGCATCTTTTCAAACAGAAAACGCGCAAACTCAATCTCCCCTTGCTTAGCCAAGCCAGTTATCATCACATTCCAAGTAACAGGATTCTTCTCAGGCATTTCATCAAACACTTTTTTGCTCTCAAACAAACCCCCACTTTCTACATACATATTAACCAACCCAGTTTGCACATAGAGATGAGACTCAAAACCCATTTTTATTTCCATCCCATGAAACTGTCTGCCTAAAATTAAGTCATTTAGATAAGCACAAGCTTTGATAAGGAAAGCATAAGTAAAGCTGTCAAATTTTAAGTGAAGGTGAAAACTTTGGAATTGTTGGTAAAGAAAGATGGCATCCTTGGGATTTTCACTTACAGAATAGCACCTAAGCAGAGCATTGAAGAGTCTAATAGAGTGGGAAAATGAGGCAGTTGTGAGTAAGTGAGAGTGGACTTGTTTTGGGACTCTTTGGATTGTTGGGTTTTTGTTTAAGAATGAGAAAAGGTAGTATTTTTTATAGTTTTGTTTTTTTTGAGGTGAAAGGGAAAGATGGGTTTGGGTTTGTTGAGCTGAAAGGGAAGATGGAAAAGAATGAAGGAACCGCAGAGAAAATTTGTTTTTGGAGGGAAAGGGAGGTTTTGTTGGCTGCAACATGGTTTAAACTTTAAAGAGAATACAACCAAGGAAAAGTTTTCGTCGCTATTCTTTTATTTTGTATTGAAAATTTCTGCGAAAAATTGTTAGAATTCTGCTTGTTGTACTATATCTTTTCTGGTACACGGTTTTGCATTATAGACACCCAAATTGTTAGAATTAGAAAATTTTAATATGAGTTGAATTTTGACAGAGAATGAGTAGAGTTTATGAATAGTTGTTTCCTGAAATTCACTTTGAGAAGCAAAAACAAAAATTTACTTACAGGATTGACGATTTCCTTACAGGACTTACGTTATAGACCGCTGAGAATCTAATAAATTTACCACATTAAAAAGAAGAATTTCTGGGAAATTTCTTGAATCAAGCAGTGAAAATGAAGAACAAGGAGAAATTTCCAACCATTGTTTATAATAATAAATATTGCAACATCAAATCTCACCATCATGCTTGTACACAGATTTAAGATGGACTGAGAAACTTTTTAAGGGCGATGCAATAGCTAAACCGACATTAGTACCAGTGATGATGAAGGATTACTGCCTTACACAATGGCTCTTCGCCTTTAAATCCTGTAGCAGCAAGCAGCAAAGCTGTTTTGTGCTTGTCTCCAGTCACAACTGAAGATATGAATCATGATCTGGAGCGGACCCTTGAGGCAGCCAAAAAATTCTTTCCATTAAAATGCAATGGCAGAATAATCATTTCAGAAACTCTAGCACACATCTCCGTGCACTGCAGCCTTGGGATTGCACAATTAGGGTGGCGGACAAAGGCATAATCACCACCGTAATAATCATGCAGGAGGTTGCTCATGTCACCACACATCAATTTTAATTTGTTTTTGCAGCGGAAGGATTCCGACCGAACTGGATGATTATTGGTTTGCCTTTGAACACATACCCGTTTACAAGACTCTGCAAAGAAGGAATATAATTAAACATTGAATCAGAAATTCATGATCGCTACACGAGGCGAGATAACACAAATGACAAAGCAGTGTTCCATGGGCGTGCTTATTGCAGTGAGACATTAGGAACTAAGTCTGAATTACTTGTGCATTAAGAATAACCTATCTTCGAACACGGATTAAAGCAAATAGGGTTGCTTGCTAATAAAACTAAAAACTTATTAGTGAAGGTCAGTAATTTGCATGAATTTTACAAGTTGATAGCTTTAGGGTATTAAAAATTGCCTTCAGCTAACACCGTAGTATTAGCCAAAGCTTTAATTCTTCAGATATGCCAGAGCTGAATGTTGTTAACTTCTCTACCTCGAAAAAAATTACAGGGAAAGGAAACCAGGTTGGCAATTTTGGCAATAATAATAATAATAATAATAATAATAAAGTTAATGTTAACATAAAAACAACTCAGGAAGAGAGCTAATTCATTTTTCTTACTTTCATTACTGTTTGGACCATGTAACCAAGTTATTTCTAGCTATTTTGGCTAGCTATGACAAGTGATACTCGCTGCATCGAAATTACTCATAGGAAAGCATTCCTTGGTTGATGTAAACAATCTTTAGACACAAAGGCAGGTCATGAGTCAACTTTTACAAGATACATGAAATGCATAAGCCCACTTGAGACAGGAAAACAAGAAACCTGAGAGAAACATACCAAAGCGCGATGGGCAAGTTCAACTGATGGAAATGTCACAAAAGCTTGGCCCCTCATTCTTCCCTCCTGAAATCAAAAGATTACTTTCAGTTTCACATTTAGGTTCTGAACAACAAATCTCGGTTTTCCATAATTACAAAAACATATTCTTTCGATGTTCAAATTCCAATAATTCAACTTTTGGTTTAATGAAATATTCAGATATTTGAAGTTTGACACAGATTGATGCAGTCAATTGTCATGGTTTTCCAACAAAAAGTTTGGCAATAAAGTTGAAGATAAAACTTAAATAAGCCAATGTAAATAAGTCAGACATAAAGCCACAGAGAGCTCAATCCAGAAGCAATGTAACCTGCATTAGCTTCACATTAAGACCCGATTTAGCTGCACCAATGCTTCCAAATAATGATCCTACATCACAGCAAGACTTAATCAGCCAAAATCCTTTTACTAATAGGAACAAGGAACAAAGTAAAGAAGCATTTCAATTCTAAGGACTTAAAAAAGCAGTTTTTCTGCAAAGTTCTAATGTTAACTATTATCTTCTTTTCCCACTTTATTATGGGAATTGAGCTGCTAAGAGGTTACTATTTGTGTCAATAAAGAATGAAGGCATTTAGTCTCACCAAAGATGAAATAGAAATCTTCAGGAACAACATCCTTTGCCAAGTTCTTTATATACAACACAGAAGCAGGATTCCCAGCCGTATAGTTCTGCACAATCCAAGAGTCACCATTCAGTTTATGTTTTGTCAGATGCACCTGATTAGCTAATTGCCATAATAAAGCGTACATGTAAGCCATAAGCCCATGACCCCCAAAGGAAGTAAAGGATTAAACTAATGTGGTTCTCAAACAGCCAGGAAAAAGAAAAGCTTTCATACTTTCATAGATGAGCAAATGGAAACTATGACAATTGCATCTTTGATTTAATTTACTATCTAAAAGAATCCGCTGAGATAAGATCCAACACCTTAAACATTGGAAGAGATAAGATTTCTTCAGGAGGCAACTTTCCCTTTTCCAACTCATCTGCAGTAGCAAATCGTTTGGCATCTGAATCCTCCTCATTAGGTTCCCCTGGAATCCGTTTGTAGCTTCATCATCATCATCATCATCTTTCTGTTCATTAGGAATGTGTTTGGGAGCAATTTTGATCTGTGAAAACACCAAAAAGATCATCAACATATAGACAGAGTAAGCTCTTTGTAAAACATGTCCCTTAGATAATATACGACCTGCAACACAGGGTTCTTCTTTTTTATCAATGGGATTTCTTTTGGGATCAAGGTGGCAGGTTTCACTCCAACAGCCTCATGAGCTACACTTTTATCAATTGCAGGGCCTACAATGACTTCTCGCCTGGCACGCTTCCTTGCAGATTTTGGCACATCTTTGTCATTCAACTCCTACAAACATGTTAATCAAGGAACAATCAACAACTACAGAAATCATACATAGGATTAAATTTGACCATAGTGCTTCTTTCAAGACACATATTTCATTTAATTTAATCTAATATGTGGTCACTGACATTCGGCATGTTAGCAGCAATATCTTACCTCATCCGAAGACTCCATTTCTGATTCACTAGAAGATGCATCTGCAAAATGAGCCTTTGCAGGTGTGGAAGAAGGAGGTGGGGGTGGGGGCGGTGCCTGTGGAGCAGGTATTGGTGGTGGCAGAGGTGGTGTCGGCAAAGCCATTCGAAATGGAGCTGGAATATTCATTTTATTCATTAGGTGCAACACCTGAAATTGAAAGACTCTTATGGTAAGGGATATATATCCAACAATAGTTAATTAGATAAAATGAAGAAAAAATCAATTACAAGAAATATTGAAGCAGCTTTAGAATAAATGCAAAATTAAAGAAAACCTGGGTATAGAAACGGGGAACAGCAATAAGAGCATTAACAATATTGGTCAAAATATTTCCATCTGGAGGAGGGTAAGCATATCTGCAACAGAAAATGCATAAGCTTTTGTTCATATCTAATGTGATTACTGCTTTAGAAAGAAAACAGGGTACTCTATTCAAACTAAAAAATCATTATTCTATGAAGCCTTATGCACTGGTTGGAAAAAACCAAACTTTAAAGCCAATAACTCTTGAAACCATGAGTGCATAATACTTGCCACTATGTTTGCAACTTCACATTTCAAGGTCATCTGATAAAGTGAAAAAGGAAATTGAAAGAATTAAGAGGATAGACTCACTCAAGGTGAGGAGGAAATGGATAGTCTACACCAAGTCTAAGAGCAATCGGTTCACTAGCAGGTATTGATCCTGATCTTGAACCTTGAGTTAGGTCTTGAGTCAAGTTAGCATCTTTCACCAAAGATGCAGATTGTGGAAAATCCTTTGCAAGCTGAACTCCAGTTTTCTGAGGTTTATTATCCTCAGATGGTTTACTAGCTCTCTCCACTGATAAGACTTTACCAAGAAACCTCAGGCTGAGCAACCACAGAAATAGGATAGTTAGATAACTATTTTTTATATTGTAAACATACTTAACAGACAAGGAACAAGATGTAACAAATAATACACAGTTACTATCTAATGCTACTGAGAAATAACTCACATATTTGATCAAGCCAAGTGCCCAACAGGGGAGAACAAAGAACAGGAATAAGCTAGAAATTTACCCATTTAACTGACGATGCGCTTGATAAGCCAATGCTTCATTTTTGAAATCCACAAATGCACAGTTCCTCAACCTACATAATAAAAGAAGGAAAATATGATTACGTATGATAAAAACAAAGATGTGCAAGACCTTAGAAAGCTAATTGCAAACTGAATGGAATTTATAAGGAACCACTAAAGCTTTAAAATTTATTTACTTTCCAGTAGAGCAAGGACGAACAGAGGATGCACCATAGTGAGAGAAAAGCCGCAAAAGAGTTTCATGAGGAATGGCCTCAGGAAGATGCCGTATCAAAAGGGTTGCTATAGAATCCAATTCTAAAGGGTTTGACGTTGCTCCGTCAACACCTTGGTATTCAAAATGCTGCATTTGAGGATTGCTAAAAGGCTGTGAGGACGGAATAGAAGCCATTAAAGGATGCACAGCAGTTTATTTCCTTGCCTATAACAATAAATAAGTCAAGGATTACACCTTAACAAATCTTTGCAATGTTGATGACCAGAAGGAATATTAACATACATATTTTCTTGCATTGAATTTTGATTTGTTTGTTATTTTTATAATGTGGGTATTATAAAAAAATCATAATAAAATAAAAAATTAAGCTTTACAAGATTTTTTTTTAAAAATAGAACATTACCAACATGGCAACATTAAACTATACGAACTAACAAGAATTAGTGTTCTTACATTCAAATTTTTGTCCAAAAAAGAAATTTTCAGAAACCCATATGTAATTTCATATTTTTATATAGTTTTCATTACAAGGTAAAGTGAAACTGCACCTTTGAGTTTTGGGTATCGATTTGCTCTGCCTCCTTGCTGCTGGCTGCTGCTAGCCTTCTCTTTCCCTGAAGAAATTCTGTTCCAATGACTTTCAAAAGAAGAAAAAAAAAATGATGGGTTTATAAGGTTGGGTCTATAGGGAGGCTTGGGAGTTTCATAATTGGCTTCTCTGAGACCCAAAATCTTGGGCTCGTTAGTGATTTCTAGGCTTTGATAAGTAACTGAACATGATCTTGGTTTTGTTTAGTTACAGCCCTTGGGCTTGCATAGTAACTATTATTTTCCTTTTATTAAGTCATGTAACAGGTTTTACCGTCATAAGGTTTTGATATCACGAATTTGATTAGGTGAATTCCAAATCTACTAAATACACTTTTTAAAAAATAATTGCATGACTTAATTGGATCAGGTTCATATGTATCTTTAATATTTTGTAATGAACATGGAAAATTTCTAATCTCAAAAGCTTATCTTTAATATTTTGTTCAAGTTAATATCTCTTACTATCATAATTTGGTGCAGATTTTTTTAATAAAGAGAGAAACATACCTTCTTTACCATTTAATTCATTTATGTACTAATTTTTTTCAAAGAAAAATATGATATTCTCTTGGACATTAGTTCAATAACGAAAAATATGAAGTTTTTTGTTTTTGTCTTAAAATTTTTTTTTCTTTTCCTTAGAAATCAAACTACACTTTTTATGAGGTGAACGAGATGAAAAGGAAAGGAGTTCTAAATACAATATATATTACATAAAGTGATTCAAGTCTCTCATTACCATGAATTTCCATGGGAAGATTTTGGTATTTCCTGTCAAAGCATTTTATTTTTATAGTAGAAATTGATAAGAACTTTGAAGTTAGTTACCCCACCTTATTCTTTCTAAAAGGAAAAAGATAAGCAAAAAAAGAGAAGGTGAGGGGGGGGGGGTGTTCCTACGATAAGCTACTGATTCTTAGGTTGATTTTATGGGATATTGGGATTGATGGCTGTCATTGTCACTATCTTAACATATTAATTATTACAGAATCCTTTGCCCCAATTCTTCAACTAAAGCAACTGCTTGGAGTGGAGAGCTTAAAACACCAGCAATCATATTCTGCTGCAATTATTTTGCTGAAACCTTGGATGTCAGATACTACTATTAAATTATCTTGAGGAATCAACATGAATCAGAGCCAACCAAAATTTGGTAACTACAAGCATACGTAACCATGAAACATAATTTTAATACCTGTATGTTTCAATTAAAAAGAAAGATTAATCCTTATGATTTTCATATTTGAAGTAAAATTGTGAATGCAACATGTAAAAAAATACTTTTTAATAATCTTCAAAAAAGAATTAAACTTAAGCGAAAACATGAAGATAAGATAGTACTACAAATTCTTCTCATGCTTCTATAATTTTAAATGATACAAAACATTTTCTGTCAAAAAAAAAAAAAAAAAAAAACACCCAACTTGTCAACTACAATGTTTTAATCATGCGTCCATGTTTATCTAGTATACTCATCGACAAAGGTGTTTTCTAGTCATCGAAATTAAGAGTGTCAAAAGTATGATTTCTTAGAAATTATCCTAACAACTAATTTTATCTTAATTCCATATATGTGTTTAGTAATTGTGATGCCTAGAAGAAATCAATTTTCCTTTTCACGCCTTTTGGGTAGTAATCAAGACAAAGACACATCTGCATGATTGTTACTTCCCTCTACAGTTGATCTGTTAGTTAATTTGATGGTTAGGACAGTTTGGTTTTAGTGGAGAGGTTAGCCAAAAGGAAAAGTCCAATGTAAAACTCCCCCTCAACCAAACAAAAGAGAATAAGTCAATTATCTTGACTTTTTTATGTACCCAAACCCTCCTATTTAATTAATAAGTGATTAAATTAAATTTGGGATTAAAAAAATCTTATCTTTTTCAAGCTGACATGTGAATGAATAAATGAATGTCTTAAGCCTCTTGCTTACTCAATTTTCTTTGTTTATTAAATAAATCTTATTCATATCTGTCTCAATGCCAGCCAACTGTCTCAAACTATGAAACAGTGGCTAAATTCCAACCTTTCAATTTTTTTTATACGTAATATAATACTAATTTTTATCCACTTGGTTAAGGTCTTTTATTAGCGTGGTGAGAGGAACTCTTATTGTGCTTATTGCGCTAACAAAGGGGCCTAAGTCTACTTTGATTATTAAACTGAACGGGGAGACTAAAGTTTAGGATTTGCAATAGAAGACCAAGATAGAATTGATAGAATACAATTGGTGGTTAAGAGTTTTTGTTAAAGAAGATAACAATTCAGATGGAATTGAATTCAGTTTAAATTTTTTAGATATTAAATAATATTATAAAATTTTAAAATTATAAACCGAATAAAAAAAATTAACTTAAATTAAACGAAATCAAACACTATAATTTTGAATCGATTTTTGAATTTTTTTTTTTTTTTCTCATCCCAAGTTCCCATTGATGTTAGCTTTCTTTTCGAAGTTGGGATGATTTTATTATTGCTACTAACCATGACTTATGAGCAATGTTGAATGACATCATGGTATTCTTATCTTTGTAGATCAAGGAGCGAGAGAGAAATAGATACCACTAGCAGTACACTTTACATCATCAAACAAGTAAGGAACAATTCATGTTCTCATGAGTAATTATAAAGTTATCATTCATTATTTGAATCCAAAAACTATATAAAGTTTTATATAAATAACTCGTATAAGTACATATAAACTATACATATGAATTTATAATAAGATTCATTTGAACTTATGAAATCAAACAAATTATTATTTCATTAAATTTTTTTTTACTAATTAAACTTACCAAAACTCTACTTTACTTAATAGAACCTATATAATTTGTAAAATATTAATAATTTTTATATAAATAATCATATTTTGCATCGATAATTTACTTTTGAGTTAAAGCTTTAAAGGCAAGCACTTATATTTCATTGAGTGATTATAAAATCATAAATTACTTTTTTAAGCATGAATTGCCAAAATCATGAACTAATAAATAATTTTTTTTTTGCAAAAAAAAAATTTAGAATTCATATTTGTGAGAAAGAGCATAAATCCAATCTCGACTGCTAAACTAATGAATTAATAACTTAGACCATTAATTTTTTTTCAAAGATTCTTGATATTAAAAACGGCAGGTGTCTGGTTCTCCTACATGGCATCCCATGTTAGTGCAAAAGACAGACCGATAGAAATTTCACATGTGAGCAAAAAAAGTGATGAGGTGTACTGCATCACCAATCGTCACCAATAATTGAGGCTTCTTTGCTTTGCAGTTTCGTCTTTTGGATCCAAAAGTCAACTGTTTTAAGTTACGAGAGTTAGGCTAACACTTTCTCAAGCCTTCTCTTTTGTGGGGTCCACACGTTATTATTGACAATTTCAATTAAAGAAAACAACTTTTTTATTTAATTATTTTATTTTACGAAATTTATTTTATATCTTAAGCTCCAAATCTCAGCTTTCTTTAATAATAATTTATTTTTTAATAAAAATAAAATTTTAAGTTTCATTCAACCGGTTCAAACAAATTTATTTATATTAAAATTTTCATAATTTTTTAATATATTTTCAAACTAAAGCGTTTAAGAGATAAACTCTTTTATTACTTAGAGTTAACATCCATTGATTAACAGTAATTTTATTATTAATATTATTTCTTTTAATAATTTATTACTCCTTTAAGTTTGATAAATCCTGAATTAATATAAAATTAATTAAATAAATGATGAGGTGACAAGACACGGCGAATATAATATGAACACATCTTTTAATCTAATGTGGAAACTAAGGGTCCAACTCTGCATCTTCAGCTTCCAAAATGTCAAGCAATATGGCATGGAATTTGGTTGGCCCCCACCTAATCTTCTTTATTTTTAAATAATGCCACCACCTAATATTCTAAACTTTCAATACATCTCTTGATTTGATGTAATTCCAACAAATAAATAAATAATTATTATATTTATACAAATAAAGTAATACAATTATTTGAATTCACATCGTAATTTAAAATTTAATCAAACTCATGTTAAATTTAGTTAATTTTTTATTATGAATACGTATACAATACAAGTACGTAATTTTTTAGTGTATAAATATCAAGAATATACACATCGAACAGTCACATAATCGAGAGCGATGTTGAACTAAAATTTGTAGTTTAATTAGTAGTTGAGATATTTGCAAAGAAGTTGTGCACAAATTTGCTGCAAATGGTAATTTAATTTTTGCTATGTTTGCTAGTTTTGGAGCTTAATTTTTTCAATTTGTCGGCGCCAGAAAAGTAAACTCTTTCAATCTATACCACTTCCACGCGTTATTTTATGTCATAAATTAGGAAGCATACAGGTGGCTTCACCCAAGTCAGCTACACAAAAATTTTGGTCTCTCTACTCTATCTAGTGTTATATTTTTCAATTTAATTTTACTTTTATATTTAAAAGATTTGGGTAGTCAAAAATATGAAACATGTTTATTTGAAAAAATACCACAATCATGTGATTTATTTTTTTTTTTAATTTGATATGATATATTAATAGAATATTAAATTATTAATTTTAATGATGAAGATTTAATAGTTAATAATTTTAAAGATAAAAATATAATATTTTTGAAAAAAAATTAAATTAATTATATGCTTTTAATTAAGATTAATTTTCTGTTTAGAGCTTTATTAGAAGTGAAGGATTAATTTTTCATGAGAAAAATGACAAACAAAAAAAAGGGAAGGATCGATTTAGAAATCTGTCTTTTCTTTTGACACAAAATAAATATGTCTTTATCAACAAGGGTTGTTTGGTATTTCCTATATATATTGGCTAAGATTTTTCTACATTTGATTCATTGCATGTGTGATTTTCATAAGAAATATCTTGAAAGAAGCCAAAAGAATATATATATATATATATATATATATATATATATATAGAGTCCTTAACAATGGATCATATGCAAATAAAATAGGGGTATATTCTACCATATATTGGACAATGACTAAATCTGATTTTATATATAATATTATACATGAATTGAGGGATGGAAAATATATGTAAATATTGACAAAAGTGCAATCTATGTCCAATTCTAAGTTCATAAAATTATCAACAAAATACACTTAAAAGCAACAATTTCATTACCCTTTTAGTTTATATTGATTTATAGAGGAATAATCTTTAAATCGAAATTTCATTGAAATTTCGTTGCCCTTTTTCTTCATCTTCATCTTCATCTTTTGAAGCATAAAACCCCCCCTAGATTCCCTCAAAATGGAGTGGTTTCCTTCCAATTTATTAAAGAAATTATTACTTTTAATTGTTCCAATGAGTTCCACAGCCCTCGAGTTAATTTGGATATATGTACACCAAGTCATACCAAAATACCACAATAGTCTACATGTGAATTAAAGTATAGCCAACAAAACCCAACCTAAATTTGCAGCTGCAAAAGCTTGACAAATTCATCGGATAAAATCATGAAAGGCATGCGCAGCAGCAATTGTTTTAAAAAGATATTATTTTTACTGGAAAATATTTGATCAACTTTTTTTTCAAATGCTTTGAAGTAAGACCCTGTTATAAAGATAAAAAAAAAGAGGTTTGCTGGGGATTTAGAATTCTGCAACCTGGCGATATATAGAATTTTTAGCTTTGGGGTAGGTTTTAAACGGAAAAAAGTCACATATTCTAATGGGAAAAGATTGCTGGAAACATGGGTCCCCTACTACTGGCTTAGAAACCTCCTTTTTACCATTTTTTTTTAAAGTTTATTTTGAATCTCATACTGTTTGTTTTCAAACAGGTAGATGTGGCTAAGAATTGAATTACCCAATCAAGGCTTGCTTGGAAAGTGCCTTGCAGCCTACGGATCTTCCATCAGCATTAGCTCTTCTCCTCTATTTAAGCTCCTTTTTTTCCCTTTGCTCTACTTTCTTAACGGCCTTCCTTTCATTTTTCTTCTGCAAAAGCCTGACACACCCTCCCTCTCTGTCCTTATATCTTTGTCTTCTTGCCCTCTTTGATTTCCATTACAGTTTGTTGTAGTTTTTTTTTTTTCTGGGTTGTTTTGTTTTTGTTTAATCCTATAAAGGGTTTTAAAATTTAGAGGATTTTAATTCCATGGAAGAAGCTATTGTTGTTAACAAAGGAGAAGACCTCATCGATTTGCCACCTGGTTTTCGGTTTCATCCAACTGATGAGGAGATCATAACTCATTATCTTACAGAGAAGGTAATGAACAGCGACTTCAGTGCAAGTGCTATGGGTGAAGCTGATTTGAACAAGTGTGAACCTTGGGATTTGCCTAGTAAGCTTTCCCTTAATTTTGTTTTTTTTTTTCTCTTTGCTTGGATGTTTAGTTTTGTTATTAGTAGTTTGCTGCTGCTGCTGTATTTGCCTTGTATTTGTATCTAATCTTTGCTTCCTTTGCTTAATTTTGCAGTGAAAGCTAAGATGGGAGAGAAAGAATGGTATTTCTTTTGCCAGAGAGATAGGAAGTATCCGACCGGGATGAGAACCAATCGAGCAACTGAAGCTGGATATTGGAAGGCAACTGGAAAAGATAAAGAGATTTTCAAAGGAAAAGGTTGCCTTGTTGGGATGAAGAAGACCCTTGTTTTCTACAGAGGAAGAGCTCCTAAAGGAGAGAAAACAAATTGGGTCATGCATGAATATAGGCTTGAAGGCAAATTCTCTTACTATAATCTTCCCAAGGGTGCAAAGGTATACACTTCAAAAGTTTTTTTTTTTTTTTTTTCATTTCTAAAAGAGAAATTTTCTTTTGAGTTTTTTTCCCTGTTTAAAAACTTTATATCGCTTTTTCAATTTCATTAATCCAAAAAATACTAATTGAAAAAGGGCTGTAGCTTTTCAATTTTATCATGTTTTTACTGTTTTGTTGGTTGAGTGTTTCTTTCATGGGGTCTCTTTCTTTGCTTTTGTGTAAATGAAGAATCTATAGACTAAATGGAGGTCATTAAATATGTTCTTTTTTTTTTTTTTTTCCTTTTTACAGGACGAATGGGTTGTTTGTCGGGTTTTCCATAAGAATACAGGGATCAAGAAAGGTCCAATTCCTGATCAGCTGTTAAGAATGAATTCTTTTGGGGATGATCTTGTGGATTATGCTTCACTGCCTCCTCTCATGGATCCTGCTTACTCCATCAAAGCAGGCTCAAGCTTCACCGATGGTGAAAATGAATTCAAGGCCATCAACACAACCCCAATGTCAAGATCCTCAGATGGGAACTACCTCGGCAGCTCCAACTTCTCCACATTGAATAATCAAAACTTTCTTCAAGCTCCAAATGACCATTATCAGACAGAAAGCTCCATGTTTAACCCTCAAATTCCAATCCCAAATCCCATCTTCTTCCATCAAGGCAGTGCCCCAAATTCTTCCTACTTGCACCAAGGAAGGAGCAGTGGATCAGCTCCAAGCAATTCCGGTACTGGCTTCGGAGGCAGTGACCAGGCAATTCTAAGAACATTGGCTGCCAACAGTGCTGACAGAATATCTAAAGCTCACAGACAGAGCAAGGTGAAGCAGTTTTCATCAAATCAATCTATGCTCAGTCACTCACAAGATACAGGCCTCAGCACTGAAATTACCAACAATGAGATTTCATCTGTGGTCTCCAAGAGCATTGAACTTGGAACCAGCAAATCTTTTGAAGATATAGAAGAGTTGGGATGTTTATGGGACTACTAGCTAAAATTTGAAGGATATACACTGTTCATGATCAGCAAGTTGGCTTGTTAATTTCCTAGGAATGTATGATTTGAAACAGTCTGTTCTCCACTAGGTGATTATTAGATTGAAAATTTTCTTGGATTCTGACAAAAAAAAAATATACTTGTATAGATAGATTCATGGTGTCCAAATCTTTTTCAGATTATTACATATAACTGAGAAAGATTCCATGTACATGAATTCTTTCTTATGGTAGTGAATTTATTCTTTTTTTTTTTCTCATTTTTCCATCTTCTTTATTTTTTTAGCATTAAAGTCGCATTGATTCCACGTTCATATGTTCCAATCATATTCCTACTTAAACCCAAACATACATTTAAGGTTGCTTATTTTATTTACTTGTTTTCAATTGCCAGTTAAATGAAAGATCAGCTCCATGTCTGAACTTCCTTTCATCTGATGTAGTTATGTTTCAATTATTGAATTCTGAAAATTTATTTATTCAAAAGTCACTTGACACTAGTAGATTAATCGGACCGCTATAATTAATTAATTTTAGTATTACTTGAGCACATGAATCTTAATTAATTTTGAAAATAATTTCAATAAAATATAGTTCCAAACTTCAAATTAATTTGATATAATTAGGAACTTTTCTATTTAGTTAATAATTGTCATGAAGTTAATTGTTTATATTCTTTTTGTTAATGGCAGCTGCAATCCCTCTCCTATCCGCAGTCTGCATCGTTTTTTGTAAAAAAAAATTTCTAATAATTGTGAAAAGGACTGATTAAGTAACATTGGATTTCAAGAAAGCCAAATGGATTTTAAATACAGAAATGTTACCACCCTCCTTGAGATTAACTGAACTGAACCAGATGATGAATCATGTGAATTATTCCCTTGACCTCTGCAGCCAATGTGCCTATCCCTCACAATAACAATCCCTCAATATTTCTTAATCCACAAGGCTTAAACTTAATCTTCTGTCTTAAGTATCATAATTAATTATTACATATGCCTTGAATATACCCTTTCGACAGCTGTTTCTTTCTTTTTTCATCCAAATTTTGGATTTACTGTAATAAATTATATAAGTTACAAACATCGATTAAATTTATATACCCCAGATCGACTCCTTGTTTTTACAAGAGACTAAAACGATGTGTATCTTATCATAATGTTTATAACATGTTTAAAATCGCTTCAAGTAATGTTGTGATCTGATGAATGACATCTTTTTCTTGTACCTTTTCAATGAAGTTGTTATGAAAAGGAGGTCAGATGGGAATATGTAACTGATAGCCAGGAAAAAAACATGATGAAAGAAAGTTGAAGGGGAAAAAAAATTTCACAGGTGAATGATTGGGAATCGGTTATTGTAAGAGAAGAAACGTTCATGTGTGATTGTGTGGATGTGCATTGAACCCTCCATCATTAACTTACTTTCTATTCAAACCAAAGCTTCCCAACCTTAGGAGATTCATGCTTGCAGGAAAGTTAACCGGCCTTTTGGTTTTGTTTTTATGGATGGGAATTAAAACGGGCAAAAATTTTTAATGAAGCAAGGACAAGGAGAGAGTTTTAAGAACAGAATTTGAACAAAAAGAAAGATTTAAAAAAAAAAAAAAAAACCCTGATTTGTTGCATGAAAACATGGGGATGCCAACCAATTGCCAGCCTCCACCATTTATTATTTTCTTTTTCCACATCGTTTTCAGCTTTTGAAAGTGAACGTGCCTTTTCCTTAGCTTATCTTTGCTATAATTTTGATCTCATCATATTTAAAGTGATGATCATGATCTTATCCGCGTTTTCATTTTTTCTCTCTTTCCATCACCACTCTGGCTGGCTACTGCTCACAGTCACACCGACTCAATTGGTCCATCTTTTTCACGTTTTCCCCTATTTTAGAATTTCTTGCATTAATTCAATTTTAGATTTTTAATTAATCTCCATAAATCTTAATTAATAAAACTTCCAGTTTTAATCACATATGCATGCAGTATTTTTCAAATATGGTTTACATATTCCCTTGAAATAAATTTTGCCACTTGTATTAAGATTAGATTTATATCGGTCTTGCTAGTAGGTTTCAGTCTAAACTTCTAGATTTGATGCAATTTTCTTCTTGCTTATCTTCATTAAGTTATTTAATTTGTGAGATTCGTTTTTTCTTATTAATTCAAAGTCATGTGTACGTTACTTTTTTTTAGATGTAATTGAATTTTAATTTTCACGTACTTTTTATGTAAACATGTTATATTAATATCATTAATAAATGTGTAAAAGTCATCGATTTATCAATAAATTATTATCAACTTGTATGTTCTGAGTGTACGTATTATATGAATAATGATGATATAAATGAATATTTCAATATAACGATCCCGCAAGTAAAAGTTAGGAAATTTCATATAACATTGACTTTTAAATATAATCCAACCTAATCTCTTTATCTCTTAGTGCTAGTCATTTGAGAAAACATTTAATGGCTTGAAACTTACCAAATGTGTTTAGGTAATGTAGTTGTATATAGGCATCTTCACATAACGCCAGTGAAAGCATACAATTTCCACTACGTATCCAAAAATTTTCTAGATGCTGCAGGATTTATTCCAACTGCAGGAAAATACCAGTATTCTAAAGGGTTAATATTCTTAGTTAGAATTTCTTAGTTGTTTCCTGGGAAACAAACTTCTTTTTTTTCCCATTAATTAATATATATATATATATATATATGGTATGTGATTTGTGAGATTCTCTAGAACATTTGAACAGTATTCTTTGTAATAGTAGTTTCGATTGATTTAGACCCATATCTCTATTGTTTTTGCCCTTGTTTCGTCATTGATGTTGTTTTAGTTTAATATATATTCATAATCAATCAATTATTTTTTAAACGGAATAAGCATAAGTTTTTACTAGGAATTCGTTTTTTATATATATATTGTCAATAAATTTTTTTTTCATAAGTGAAATTAAAAACTTGATACATATTTTAAATATTTTAATTATGAATATTTTATAAAAAATTCGAATCACTCTTCAAATATAAAAAGATATACATGCATTTATATATTATTGAATAAAATGCTTGTTGCTATAGATTGCCTTTTAATTTAAAGGTGATGCACACAAAAACCCCATATCTCATCTTCTCAACTGTTGGATTACATATATTAATTAATCTTCTCTTAACTAAAAGTAATTAATTCTAACATGACAAGTAGTGTGTTTTAACTAAAGTAAATTGACTTCTTAGACAAACAATTCAAAGGCTTGTAGAAAAATGTACCTCAAATGGCCTATAAGAGAAGCAATTTCTGGCTTGGAAACCAAGAATTCTCTTTATATATATATATATATACCCCACATACCTTGAGAAAGATTCTTCTTTCTTGATTTTTGTCTTCATTATACTGTTTCTCTCTTTTTAAATATTTTGGAATCTTTATTTTAATTTAAGTTATTAAAACATTAATAATGTTCTAAACTATATTTTAACTACATTAAAACAAAAAACGTAACTCAATTGATTCATGTAATCAATTTTAAAATATAACATCTAATAAGTTACAATTATTTTTTTATTTTTAAGTTATGCTCTCTCGCATAACAAAAATTATATTTTAACTCAAAATCTGATAGAAGCTACTTATATAAAAATAATAATATAACAAATTAGAATGCATGCACAAATTCATTTTTAAATTAAAGAAAAATAAATCCATATACAAACGGAATGTCCAAAAAGGAAAAAAATAGAAAAAAATAAATTAGTTATTACAAAGATATTGAAATAACTTGACTACACTTCTACTTTTTAATTACTTATTACAAAGATATTACTTTGTGATGCTCTCTATACGTGTACTATTATCATATTTAAGGCCTTTGCTTCATATATATATATGCTAGCATCAATTAAAAGTTGAATTTGAAATTAAATTTATTACTTGAAATTTTTTTAAAATTTTGATTTATTTATATAAAAAACCAAGTATTTGATTCTTCTTTTTTAAGTAAAAAATGAACAACAACCATAAAATTAGGACCAAGAATAAGTGTCTCTTAATTTTATTCCATTAATTAAATTTATTTTTTTTCTATATTAAAATTTAAGTAACTATACATATATATATAATATTTTGAAGTAGCATTAGTGTTACGTAGCGAATAATAAGTTAAACTAATAAAATTTTATATAAAAGAAATAACTTTATAAATTAGTAATAGCATATATAGTTTATTTTTTCCAATCTTGACACTAAAACTTTTTTTTTTTATGATTCTCTTTTATCAAAAGTTTCATTGAAAAGCAAGCATCTTAAAAAAAAAAAAAAAAAACTCGAAAGCCTATGGTGCGAACATGATCTTTGCCGTACAGAATCAAAACCTAGGGACTCGACAAGACACGAACTACGAAGTTTCCGGCTGCTCGGACATTGGCTTAACGGTGAAAACGGAAATTTGCCGTTAAAATGTTTTGACATCAGCTGAAGTCATCATTATTTTCTTAATCTGTACATATTTTGACGTGCTGCCACGTCGTCACCAGTTCATTGCACAAGGGTTATGACTTAGTGGGTCCGACGCTTTATTTTCTTTCTGTTCTTTTGGACTTTTTGGATCCAGTTAAGAAAAAAATACCATTGGTAATTTATTTCGATAAAGATTTAAATAAAAAATTTTTTAGTGGAATTCGTAAAATTTTTAATTATAAATAATTAAATTAAAATTAAAATTAAAATTAATAAATTAAAAAAATTTTCATATAAATTAATTTTTAAAAAATTTTAATTAATGTATATAATTTTAGATATATATTTTTAATAAAAATATTAATAAAATTTTTATTATTAAATAAGTTTAAATTATATTTGAATTTTAAATAATATTTTAAATTATTTTTTATATATTATTAATTTTCACATTAAATTCTATCAATTTATTGATTTGAAATTTTTATTATTTTATTTAAAAAAATTTATAAATTTCACCTAAAAAATTTTATATAAATTTCGTCCTTTTATTTCTTACCTTTTTGATTTCGTTCAAATTTCTCAATATTCAAAAGAAGAATGGACTATTAAAAATAAATATTAATTTTTAATTATTATAAAATTATAAAATTATATTGATAATACATAAAATCAGCTGTATATTAATAATCCAATGTCCGAAACATTGTGCCAATGTCTCTAGAATGAGATGTATCGCTCTAGCAATTAATCCTATTACTGTAAGGTTTAACCAAAAACAACGCATCAATCCAATAGATTTTGACATCAAAGATGTTCAATTTTTAATTTCTTGCAAGTTTAAATTAAAACACAAATAAGATTCTATTTGCTGAGGTAATTGTAGATTATCATGCTTTAATCAAAGACGTGTGGGGACTAACAATGATTATGACAATATAGAAAGGAAGCATATGACAATCTGTTTGGGACTTTGGAAAACTACGTGTAATAACTGAAAAACCCAAATTTATAGAAACATTGAATAAATATATAAGACGCTGAATTTTTCTGGTAAAATAAAAGCTATACAGTGTTTTATGAAAAAAAAAATGACGGCTTAATTTAGCCTTGTAAAAGTCTAATTTTATGAATAAGATATTTATTTTAATTTGTTCATATAATTATATTTAAAAATTGATATTTATTATATTTGAACTTTAAATATTAATACGTATAATTTTTTAAGTTTATATTTGATATATTATCAATATATAAAATTTATATATTATTAATAAATCAGATAATGATAATTCATTAATGAATAAATATCAATCTTTAAAATAAATATACACAAATTAAAATAATTTACTTATTAATGAAATATTATTATCAAATTCATCTTATTAATGAATTGTTATCATCTGATTTATTGATAGTATATAAAATTTATACACTGACAGAATATCAAATATAAATTTTAATTTTTTTATTTCAAAATTATGATTTTTTTTGTAAAAAAAATCTGGCCTTTTTCAATGTCACTATCAAATAATTTAGGCACTCGTGGGTGTCTCCATTGCCCTTTAATTTCGCCAACAAAAATGCCTGGCTTTGTGCGGTTCAAAAGTGTTCCCTACACTATGTTTATGTGAGAAAATTTCATTTTTCTCATAACCATGTTACAATTTAATCGTGAAACATTAGTTTTAAACATAAGGTAGCACTATATGTGTTAGAGAATTATTAAAAATGCTAATTTTAATAACTTTAGAATGCAAATAATTAGTCAATATCTGCACTTGAGTTTAAATTAATTTAGTTTAAATTATTTTAAATGAGCTAAATTTTTTAATTAAAACTTGTCTTTAAGTGTGATGTATATAAATTTTACAACTCATTATATATCTAATAAAAAATGTGACATTTATTAGTAAAAATTCCATAAAAAATCTTTATAAAATGGCAACCTATATATGGAGAACATAGAGAATTATATAGTATACATATATATATATATATATATATATGTAAACTTTGAAAGGAAATACGCACAAATATTAACTCAAATGATAAAGAGAGTTCGTTAAAATTTTTTTTTTATTGTTTGAGTTTGAATCTAGTAAGAGATAGTGGGAGAGATATCTTACCTTAAATTCATTAGGTATTGTATAAATAAATCTACTTGAACCAATACAAAAAAAAAAAAAATGTTAGATGAAATCCAAAAACTCTTTATCGATTAAAAAAAAATTGAAAGAATTAAATTCAAATGTAAGTTTGCGTTTGATCTGCATAATTTTGAGGAGTGTAATTAGTAAATGTAATAATGAGCTATGAACTATAAAGACTATTGGGACCCAATGGCCAATGATATATTAAATGTTAAATCACAATGTGAATGATGTGAACAAACCCTCTTAATCATTATGGAATATTATTACAAATAGAAAAACTCAAAGTTTCCTGTCAATATACTGCTAATTAAAGAGATTCTCCGCGTTGAAGTGATTGTTAGTAACATTTACACAAAGAAGGATCAGAAATAAATTGAGCCAACCGATAAAATTAATTAAGTCTAATAATCTACGAAATTTGCACCAAAAATGTAAAAGTTCTCTAATTTAAGCCAATTTGTTTTGTTACACATAAAGTTGCTAGGGATTCGAATCTTGAATTTTAATCAGAATACAATTATTATGGATAATTTTAAGTTTGAATTCTAAATTTTACATATACAAAGGACATTGCAATTCAGGATATATCGATAAAGAAGTTATAAGTATTTGAGATTTAAATTTTAAATTTATTGAATATCATATCTTAAAAGTGATTGCACGAATCAATTAAATTAAATTTGAATTAAATACTATTTTTTATTTTCAATGTTTGAGTTAGGATGTTTAATTTGTTCAATACCAAGTTTTTAATTTACTTTATTTACAAATATGTTCACACAGCATGGATTCTTGGTAGGAAAATGATTCTATTTTCATGCTTTTGGACCGGCTGCTTAATGACAAATGGATTCTCAATTTTCTTTATAATTTATTTGTCACGTATAGGTATTCAACTAATACATGGGATAGAAATATAAGAAAATTGGAAGCAAGAGCAAGAAATAAGAATAAAATATAGATGTGAAACCAAAGTAAGATTAAAGAAAATTGAATGAGACATTCATGTGATCTGATACCTGATTTGCTCAACAGAAATGCTTCACCTTTATCTCTGAATAAAGAGTAGGGAATAAAAATAGGATAAGAAAGCTTTTGTAACTTTGGAAAATTGTGAGACAATGGGAACCTTTTCTTTTCTCCTTTTTTGGCCTTATAACACTTCAATTATTAATGCCTTTTAGTTTTCTTTTGCTTCTATTTGTTTTTCCATGAAATTAGACAGGCAAAAGTAGTAGGTTTTTGGTTGATTATTGAATTGACTTATGATTTAAATCATAATATGTAACAATCTCAATCTCACGTTGAAAGAATATGTAAATAAAAAATAATATATATATATATATATATTGAGATTTAAATCAAATTTGTGATGTATCTTTTGTGGAATAAAATCATAAAATCTTCGAGTCAAAGTGGATAATATCTCGCAAGTTAGATGCGGATCTCCACAAATGATATCAAGTAGTGACCAGTTGACAGTAACTAAGTACTATATGATGGGGAACAACTTTAAAATCTCAATATCTTATGTGATTTTAATGCTGTGGTTAGATTCAACTTGACAGAAGTATGTGGATATAATATAATATACTTAGTCATGTAGTTGGATTTGACTTGATAGAGATGTTAAGTTTTAAAAATAAAGATTGTAACGACTTCAATATCACATTTGAAGAATATATGGATATAATATGATATATAAGTTAGATATGATATAAGTTAAACTTTAAAGCTGTGTCTGATTTGATCTTGGTTGGTCCGGTGGTTGAACTCGACTTGATAGGAACGTCAAGTTTTAAAGGTAGAGAGATATGATATACTTAGTCCTATGGTTGGATTTGATTTAACAAGGATGTGGAGAGATTATAACGCCTTCAATCTTATATTGGATGAATGTGTGAATATGATATGATATATAAGTTAAGTTCTAAAGTTACGTCTGATTTGGTCTTGGTTGAACTCGGCTTGATAAGGATATCAAGCTTTAAAGATAAAGAGATTGTAACGTTCCCAATCCACATATTCTGGAGAGATTGTAACAGCCTCCAATCTCACATTTAAAGAATGTGTAGATATGATATGATATATAAGTCGAGATTTAATCTCAAACTTACAAGATTTTTTTGAGATAAAATTATGAGACTTTTAAATTAAAGCAATCAATATCTCTTATTCACATTGCTAATGGATAAGATTTTTGTATGGATAAAGGTAAAGCTATCTTTCCACGGAGGCTTGCAGGAACGCTGCTTCCATCGCACTGGACAATGCATTTTATGACTGGACGCACCGTCCTGTGTGATAGGAGCATTCGAGCCTAAATTGGCCCCTTATGTGGATCAAATTGTAAGATTATGCTTTATTTCAGATTATATCCTTGATTAGATCAGAAAAAGCTATTTTTTAAAATAGTTTCTGATTTTATGCTGATTCAAGCCAGAAGATTTTTGAACTTGATGATTGCTTCACCAGCTGGTGGACTCCATTGAGAAAAACAAAAGAAGCTGCAATGGTGGCACAGTAGTAAAGATTAAACAGCTTAGAAATGTGTATAATAGAGGAACTACAATGTCAAATATGAATAGGCAGATTTTGCAGGCATTCACAGAAACTCTGCAGCAGATTTTTTTTTATTGCTTTTGATTCACTAGTCGAAAATATAAAGTAGCAGCCGAAGTTAACAGGTAGTAGGCCTCTCCGTGCATCAAGATTTTCACACACGTGGAAAGAAAACACACAAAAAGCCTCAAGAAGAGAAAGCAAAGGGATCCATCCAAGCTATAAATCAGCAGGCACAATACAGCTTCGATCCAGAACTTGCATCACCATATCATAAGCATCCTGCATTTATCATCAGTTATTAGGAGAAACAAAAAATAATGAAGGCAGTTGAGATTTGCAACATTTGACTAATGGTCCAAAAGGAAAAGAAAAACAAGAATCTTTTCAAGCTTCATGTCATGTGCTTGTCCTTTGATTACTTAGATAAGAGATTTAAGAATGCAGAAAAATGATTCCTAAATTGTCAAGAGTTGGTACTAAAGATAGATAGAACTTTGCTGGGATTTTAATTGTCTTGCTTTTGTAGGTTTTGAGAAACTTACAATATGGTACAATCTTCCATAGCTGGTTGTCTCCTTTGTTCCATTCCCAGAGCACAGTAGTAGTACCATCATTGACTCCACCAGAGTTCTTATCTCCTTGGAAAGCATCCATGTTCAGGCGAATGTTATTAATCATTCTTACAGCTCTATAACCATCATCCATGACCTTGCTCTCACTCCACAGTATGGACTGATCAAAATTATCTGACCTGTAAGGTATCAGTTGGACCTGCGGAGAAAAACCTTTTTCAGGACAAATTTAATGTTGGTATTTCAAAATGTTTCTTCATTTTTAATGTCTGAAAAGGAAAAAAAAATTATGATGCACACACAACTTTTTTCTACTGTAGGAATCAAGAGTGAAGGGGTGGTGAAATCGTGAGCACAGTATCTAGGCTAGGTTCCAAGATGCCTCATCTCAGCATATCAGAAGGGGAAAAAGCATGATTTCCATTATACCAGAAACAAGGGCATTTTATTTAAGCATTGAAGAAGCTAAATTACCTACGAAATCATAGGATTTTGTTCTTGACCATGATAAGCTGCTGGAATTTTTTGAACAGCGGGTAATCTAGACCCCAATATCATAACAATTATACATTATGTTACAACATCTATATGCCACCGAATTGGCAGAACAACAGATAATAAGAAGCAACAATTTTGACTCAAATAATGCCCATGTTCAACTTCAATTCTTCTGTATTTAACCTAATAATTAAGCCTAATTTCTGTAATTAAAGGTGTTGGAGATGGAATCTAAAAGTGTCAAACTTCACAGATTAGAAACATTGTATGAGGGAATAGATGGCCAAAGAGAAGAATGACAAGCAATTTATCACATGAAGAGAGCAATAGGAATTCAATAATTTCTTCTCCACGTTGATTCGAATAATATGGATAATATGAGAAACATATAGCAAGAGAGTAGATGATATATCGAACTGTTGTCTATAATTAGAATGTGTGTTGCTTCTCAGTTCTCACCTATCAGCAAACATTATCAAGTAAAGAAAATCAAAAGCTCTCAGAACAATGACTACATAGAAATAAAAAGCTTTGATTATACCATAACCAGTACATGCAATGCGTAAAGAACGGTAGACCAAAGGTATGAATTCTTTGTTCAGCAGTGGCAAATGTTGTTTAGCAGAAGGGAAAAGATTGGTAAAGTTCATCAATTATGAACCGTAAATTCTTACCTTTAAAATGCCACAAAAAAAAAAAAAAAAAGAAAGAATGAAGAGAATAACAAAGTAATACAATCAGATATTCAGTTGGTAAAAGGATGACATTCACATACCCAATGCTAAGTTGCAGAATTCTAATCTAGTATCAATGGAAAGTACAACTAGAAAAGAAGCATGTGAAATTAGCAGATCATATAAGAAAACATCGAAAGCCAAGAAGAATTCTTACAGGATGACTAGCTCCTATGGAATGTTTAATGGCTTGACCAGTGGCTTTATTAACCAGAGAAAAGCTGGGGAAACCCTCTTCATCTTTCACTCTTGTGCTGAACTTCTGATCTTTGTACCAGTGCTAAAACAACAACAAAAAAAGTAAGATCCAAATCAAAATGAGATCATATGCGCTGCTTTAACTTTAAGTTTTATAACAGTCAAAAGGGTATTTTGGGTTGTCAATTAATTTGTTTAATGTAAAGTCAAAAATGGTTATAACTATATAAGGAGGCCAAAAAGAGAGGAAATTACATAATATATGGAAATAATTTCCAAGAAAGAAAGCAAATCAAACCAAATTGCAAGATAACCAACTGACAAATTTATAATCCAAAAATTAACTTGCAAGAAAATTGTAATTGTGCCGATATAGTTGCTAGATGCACACCTGGAACTCATCAGCGGGATCAGATGGAGCAAGAATAACTTTACCATCTCTGATGGTAAGATGAAAATTAGGATCAGCCTTGCAATAGACTTTGACAGTAGGTTTCTTGGAGAGTTCAGAGGCAAAACCAGAATGAGACTGATGGCCAGTGAAAGATGACAAGTGGGGACTAAAAGAGTGATGACCTTCACTTTGATGATGATGATCAATCCTTTCTTGACTACTTTCATGAGGAACATGTGTAACATGCGCTGGTGCAGGTGAGTAGTTGTATGAACCATGTTCAAGCTGGTGGCTACCACCACTGTGGTGTACATCAGTCACATTGCTTGCTGGTGGCGGCAATATTTCGGTTTGTTGGTGGTGATATGATGGAGTTTGGTATGATGGTGGTGCTGCTGCAAAGCCAGGTTGCTGGAAGTATGAAGATGGTGGTTGTTGTGATGGTCCATCAAAGCCAGGTTGTTGGTAGCGTGGTGGTGGTGGCTGCTGGTACTGAGCTGGTGGAGCAAATTCATTGTGTTGACGATATTGTGCTGGTGGTCTTTCTTGGATTCCTTGGCCATCATTTCTATGGTGGTGAGTGTGGGAGTGGTCGTGACCATAAGGGAATTCCATTATTGTTTGATTCTGATATAATTTCTTCAACTGTAGACTTTTGATCTAAACAACAAGAAGCTGCTACTTGATTAGTATCAAGTTTTGTAGTATAACCAAATATAGATAGTACAACATATTTATATAATTAATTTGTTTTTTTCTTTAAAAACAGTTTCTATTTTCGTCAGAGAAGCTTTCAAGTTCTACATAATTTTTCTGTTTACTCGGGCAAATTGAAACAAATTCCTTTGAAAATTGGATAACTTTCCTTTTTACTTGGACAAACTGAAACAAATTCCTTTTCTGAGATTTTGGTTTGGAACATGTCTTACGTTCAAATAATTCTTGGGGCCAGGACCTGCCTTAGTTTTTAAAATTTTCAGTTCTGAGCTGGCTTCAGTTTCTTTTAATATCTAATTTTTCAGTCTAAGCCTGACTTTGATTAGTTAATAATATCGTCAAGAAAAGAGTCCCCACAGCTGAAACCATTCAAATAATTAAACATTCTAGGCATGTAAATATGGTGGATAAGCCGCCTGGTTACAAGGTATGAAAACAAAAAATAAAACATTTTCCATGTTTGCTTTTACTTTTCACTGGTAAACTTATCTTCAGATCAGTTTAAAGACATAAATGGATTTAACTTGAATATAAAATCACAAAAAATTCAAGATTTAATAATACCACATTAACCGTTGGTTAGTTATTGACAAGAGAAACTACGTTCAGGCAAAATTTGCAGGCATTTACAGAGATGTTTGTTATTGCTTTTCCACACATTAGTAGCAGCAGGATACATTTATATGGATCAGTCAAGAATATAAAGAAGCAACATTGGGCCTCTTTATGTGTAAGGTACAATATTCTGGATTCTTACTTTCTTGTTTTTGAGAGACTTACATAAGGTACAATCTTCCATGGTTATCTCCCATGTTGATGGTGAAAGTCCAATAGTAGTATCATTATGGACTCCATCAGATTCCCCATCACCAAGGAAAACATCTAGATTCAGGGGAATGTGACCAACAAATCTTACAGCTCTATAGCCATCGCCATTGTCCATGCTCTCACTCCATAACATGGACTCATCAGGATCATATGGCTTGTAAGGTATCAGTAAGACCTGCAGACAAAAACCTTTTCAGGACAATTTTTACCGTCTGAAAAGAAAAAAATTATGGCACAGACACAATTTTATACTGTCTTAAAAGGATGATATACCGAATGCCAAGTTGCACAATTCTAATCCAGTAGCAATGGAAACTACAACTAGAAAAGAAGAATGTGAAATGAGCAGAAAAAAAAGGAAAACTTGAAAGCCATGGAGAAGTCTTACAGGGTGAGTAGCTCCAATGGAAGGCTTAATGGCTTGACTAGTGACTTTATTAACCAGAGCAAAGCTGGGTAAACCCTCTTCATCTTTCGCTTTTGTGAAGAACTTCTCATCTTTGACCCAGGGCTACAACAACAAAAGTAACATCCAAATCAAAATAAGATCACATGCTCTGCCTTAATGAATTAATTTTAAGTTTTAAAAACAGTCAAAAGGGGCTTTTGGGTTGTCAATTAATTTGTTTTAATAAAGTCAAAAGACTTATTTTTCTTTTATTTCCTCAACTTTTCCCTTTTTTTTAGTGCAAGAGAAATGTAATTCTGCTGATATAGTTGCTAGATACACACCTGGTACTCATCAGAGGGATCAGCTCGGCAAGAACAACCTTACCATCCCTGATCGTAAGATTATAATTAAGAGAAATGAGAACATCTTTAAAATATTAAGTAATATGAATTACATATGAATTACATATATGATGGTGAATAGTTATATTTCTTTAAAAGATATAATTATTTACTAAAAATTTTGTTTTCCAAAAAATAATGTTAATACAAATAGACATATTTCATAGTTATGTCAGTATAAAGAGATCTCTATTTAATTATAATTAGAACTTTTTTAATTTTTGGAAGATATAAAATTGAAAATATCATTTACCTAAAAATATTTTGCATATAAAACAAAAGCCAAAAAAAGCCCCACAAATTTTTTATAGCCAAATTATATAATTCTATTCTTATACCGATGAATACTTAGTGAATTGATTTTGTCAATGTAAAATGTAATCAATCATTAGGCTTCATTATATTTTCAAAATTTATCGCCAATAACTCTTTTACATATCAATTAATCAAGTGGTGATAACGAATAAAACTTTAAGAAAAGTGATACTGTTACATGTCTTGAAATTTTTTCTCAATTTTTCAACCCCAAGTTCTAACAATCTTCAGGTTTTATTTTTGTGAGTTTATAAAAAATTTTATTGAAGGCAATAACGATAGACAAGGATAATATGTTCAAGATTAAAACAAAAATTTATTCAGATTTGTTTTATTTATTCAAATGAATTCTTTTGGGACAATAAATCTTGGAATGACATATACCAATACAATAAAATCAAGAAGCAAAGAAATTGTTAAGTGTTGCTTGATTTTCAGTTAGTGTACAAGTCAATACTCAATAGATTATTATTATTTTTTGTTGGATGAATCATATTTCATATTTATCTTTTCTTATCATTCGGGTTGAAATTTAATTAATTTGGAATGATTTCTTTCAAGAGTTCCCTGGAATGGAAACAAAATTATGGCAGATCTTAATGTAAAGATTAATGGGATGGAATTTTTTTTCTTATAAATATAAGAAAGATATGATGGAGATATCATGTCCATCCTTTATCATTCAACTAATACATGATTATTCTTAAGGGCTACAAAGACATATTTCTTGTGTTCTGGAAAATAGCCATTTGCACATTGCTAAGTATTGTTAAGTGTTGCTTGATTTTCAGTTAGTGTACAAGTCAATACTCAACAGATTATTATTATTTTTCGTTGGATGAATCATATTTCATATTTATCTTTTCTTATCATTTGAGTTGAAATTTAATTAATTTGGAATGATTTCTTTCAAGAGTTCCCTGGAATGAAAATAAAATTATGGCAGATCTTAATATAAAGATTAATGGGATGGAATTTTTTTTCTTATAAATATAAGAAAAATATGATGGAGATATCATGTCCATCCTTTATCATTCAACTAATACATGATTATTCTTAAGGGCTACAAAGACATATTTCTTGCGCTCTGGAAATAACCATTTGCACATTGCTAAGTCGAAAGTTTGTCACACCACCATCAAATGGTTGGAATGGAGATGTTCGGTTTTTTGTGACCCTCTTTCATTAGCAAACAAAGAATTATACTTCAAATCCCATGACATCTAAAATGGAGTTAAATACTTCATCTCGTCCAAAAGAGGTAAATATGAAAAGATTTCTTTCAAGGGTTCCAGTTATTGATAAAAAAGTCAATTCAGTAAAAGCATCTTAAGTATCAATGCCAACTTTGCATATTTATGAATGATGAAAGAAAGAAAGTAATTTCATGAAAAACATAAGCAAGATTTGATAAAAGTAAATAAAGTTTGTTTTAATGCAAATAAATTTATAAAATTATAAAGATATATGGCATTTATGTGCATTGAATATAAAAGAAAAGTGCACAAGTTTTATGGCTTTTTATAATTTCATGGCAAGGATATTTGATGGTTATGCACTGTGTAGGCTAGATAATGATGTTGGCTTTTCAAAGCGATAAACCTTGGATTTGGCTATCAAATGAGTTATCGATTGTGAAGTTGTTGGAAGTCTTTGTTTAAATAGTATTATCTCACAAATTTGACTGTGAAGAGATTTGAAATTAGAGTTAAAATATCAGTGGACTCTAATTTCACATATATATTGTTGTTATGAGTAAAGTTTAAATTTATTATATCCAAAATATTTTTATGACCTATTTGGATGGTGGACATGATTTGGATAAAGGCATAATATTGTACATGGTATAGGATTTATATATGTGTATATATATATATATATATATATATGTATGTATGTATGTATGTATGTATGACATTTTTATATTCACTTGATAAACCCTTTGATGGTCTTTTAAAATAGCTATATTCTGAAAGATATATGAAATATCCTTGTGTATAAATGTAATTTGTTGACAAAAGTTATGTTATTTTTTAATATACATACACAATAAGTTTTAAGTTTTAAATTGATTATGATAAGAAGTTATGGAAAATAACAAAAAAGATTATCTTGTTTCGCCAAGGGATTTACAATAATTTACTTGATGAAAAAGACAATATGATGTATGGTTCACAACTTAGTGGCAATAACATTAATTTCTTGGGATATCAAGAAATATATAAAATGACCAAATGCGAAATCATCATAACAAGAATAAAAATAAAGTGATTACTATAAATTAAAAAAATTTATGACAATTGTATAAAGGATATCCTTAATAGTTGAATTATTATGGAAAATATTCTTTAAAAAATGGATATACATACATGGTGGGAGGTTGGTCTTGTGAACCTACAAGATATAATTATAAATAAGTTAAAATTTCACCATATGCTATAGAAAATTAACATAATTACATTGGAAATTTAAGAATAAGGTTCAAGCTTATAGTATGAAGTCACTTATGATGGAAACTCGAATCAATGCTTGATATAACATCAAGTCTTAAGTTCAATGAGTCAAAGTACATCATCTGTACATGACTACAAACACTATATTCTTATATTTTCATCCTATGTACTTGATACTCATAATGATAAGGGAAGGATAATGTTATACTTTTAATAAACTCATAACATAAATAAGTTTGAATGTTATAATTATGGGAGCACTCTTGATGTGAGTTACCTATGAATGTGAAGTGTGATTACTTTTTAGGAGTTTAAGGGCTTGGCTCTAACACCACTTATGAAAAGAAGATACAAACACAAAGCCAAAATAGTGTCCCTGTATACCAAGCATTCATTGGGTATAGAAGTTTTTTTGTGTGAGATAAGTTTGGTTAATCAAATAAAATAGTTGATTCAAAGCATAATCTATCATATAATTTTGGTTAATTTTAACTTGTTTTCACTAAATGAAGGTTAAATCAAAAGATACCTTCATTTGTGTAAAAAAATTTCAAAATTATCAAAGATTTGGTTTATTTTGAAAATAGTGGAGGATTGTTGAAATATTTTTAAAATAATAAATCATATGAATTACAAATGATGGTGAATAGTTATATCTCTTCAAAAGATATAATTATTTACTAAAACTTGTCTTTCAAAGAATGATATCTATAAAAATAGGTATTTTTAATAGTTATGTTTGTACAAAGAGATTTCTATTTAATTGTACATAGAACTTTTCTAGTTTTTTGAAGATATAAGGTAGAAAATATCATTTACATAGAAATATTATGCATATGAAACAAAAAGCCAAAAAAAGCCCCATAGGTTTTTTGTATAGCCAAATCATATCACTATAGGGGTTTTGGTTTTTAGCGGCGTTTTTTTTTTACCGTTTAGCGACGTTTATTAACGCCACTATAAGATTGCGACGTTTGCGAAAAAACGTCACACAGAGTGTCGCCTATACACGCGTCATGGCAAATAGCAGCGTTTTCGAAAAAATATCTCAATAGGAGCGACGTTTATATTAGAAGCACTGCCATTTTCGAGGCGTTTATATCTTTGAGACGCCGCTACTTTAGAGGCGTTTGAATTTGAAAACGGCTCAATATTAATGATGTTTATATCTTTTAGTCGCCGCTATTTCAATTACGTTTTTACGAGAAAAACATCATTGCATTGATGGCGTTTGTAACAGAAAACGCTGCTACTTTAAAGGCGTTTGAATCTGAAAATGCCTCAATATTTATGACATTTATATCTTTTGGGCTCCACTAATTCAGTTGCATTGTTATGAGAAAAACGTCTAGTGACGTTTCTATAAAAAATGCCACCTAACTAGCGACATTTGCTGGAAATAACGCTATTACTTATAGTGACGTTTTATGCTACAAACGTCATTAAATTATTCATTTAGCGGTATTGCCCAATGCAAACGCCGTCATTATGTAAAAATGTATTTTTAAAAATTTTTTATAATAAATTTTATTTTCAGTAAAAAGCTTAAATTCAGAAACTGAAATTAATATTAACTTCATTCACATTTAAATATACATCTAATTAATACAAAGTTTAATAATTAGTATAATAACATTCAAATATGATAAATACATTAACTAAGTAAAAAATTAAAATGTATGAAATGGATGATTACATACATTTTACCGGTTGCCAATTGATGAAGAAAAATTTTCACATTGGTCACTTGCATGCTCAACAACTTACTGAATAATATCATACAATTTTTAATACTTCATTGTATGCTTATTTTTTATTTAAAAATTTTAATATTTACTAAATATAATACCTGAGTTGATGGAACACCAAGATCATTTCTTGAAAATTATGTTTGCACAAAATTCATAAGATGATTGAATCGATCATGCAACTGCTGAAATTTTACATGCTC